TTTTTTAATCTTCAAGTTTAATAAAAAATTAGTTTATCAGTATTTAAGAACATAAAAATTGGGAAAGAATCCGAATTAGAGACAAATGGACATAAGATTTATTCTTAAGCAAAAGAAAAGTTAAATAAAAATTTATTTCATAAGTTAATATTATTATATAAAAATAATTACAAAATAATCAACAATAAATTGAAATTAAATCACTTAAAAATTAAACATTCTTCTTTCTTTTTCTTATTTTTTCTTTTATAGATGCATTTCTTTTTTCCAAGTCGACTGACTCTGTTTTAGAAATGAAATAATCTCTTTCAGCTTGTAACTTTAAAACTTCTTCCTTAAGTTTTAACTTCTCCTCTGAAATGTAACTAAAAGTTAAATGACAGAGACATGGATGAAAATCCAATCGAAAATGATGAAAATGATAATGAAGATATAGTAGCTGAAAACAATTCGTGATGATTTTGCTTTGCGACATTTTTGAACATATTTTATCTAAATTACTCATTTTCAAATTCCTTTTTTATAATAATAAATGGTTTATTAATTTTGTATTTATTGTTAATTTGTGATAGAGCGATAGAGTTGTATAGAGTAACTCCATTTCATAGTTTTATGTAGCTCCAATTCAATTTTTTTGATGGTGTTAATATATTTTTTAACTCTAAAAATATAAAAAGTTTAATTTAAAAATATAAAAAATTAGTACTTAGTACAAGTCTAAAACGATTATTAGTCCTTAGTACAAGTCCTAAAACGGCTTATTACTTTAACTTGTTTAAATTAAGTTTAAAAAATTACGCAGCAAACATTTAAAAAAATCACGCTGTGATGCACATGATGATGATCTAAACAATATTATGTGCCAGTTGGCATCGTAACACTTGGATGCTATGTAAAAAACAGCACGAAAGTTAGCTAACGAAGCGGGCTAAAGGAAGAAATTTAACTGACAAAGTTAACGGAGCGGTTAATAAACGGAAACGACTTAACGGAAGGACAAGAATACTATTTTTCTCCATCCGTTTCGTAAAGGTCCGTTAACAATTTTTTTTCTTAACAGTCACTTGAACTCTCCGTTAATTTAACAGAGAGACGTGAATATGGCTGCTGATCTGACAAAAATAAAGTTACTGCCAGTTCTGGCAAAAATAAAGTTCCATGCCAGATCTGGCAAAAATAAAGTTCCGTGCCAGATCTGGCAAAAATTAAGTTTATAAATTATTAAAAATAAAGTTGGTCATTTATATTTTGTGGTAATAGGGAGAAGTCATTATTATACAAAAAACTTGAAATTTTTTAAACTCATATGTACTTAAATCTGTCAGATGCTTTAAAAACATTTGACTGATAAAAGTATTGGTTACCTGAAAGCTTCCAGAATGCTTTTTACAAAAAATTCCTTTTTTTGAAGTATGAAATTTTTTTTTGTTTCTACTTTAAGCAAATTTTTAGCTTGTTCATTTTTGTCTCCATTTTTCAATCAAGTGATATTTTTGGTATTTTTTTCTTTTAAAAAGTTTGCACATTTTCCTTTTTAAAAACTTTTTAAAAGAAAGAAATACTGCATTTAAACATTGCAGTTACATACTGCATTTAAAGATTGCATTTACATACTGCCTTTAAAGATTGCAGTTAAATCTTGCTGTGAGTTGGATTTTGATGACTTTCGAGTGAACTCGAAGGTTGCACCTTCTTTTTGCCATTAAATCTTGATTTTCCACCATTTCCCTGTTTTTAGTTTTAATCTTATAATATTTTATGGCAATTCCAACACTTGATTTTGGAACTTTGAAATTATCAAATATGAGCATAATGGATTTTCTATAAAAAATTTAGAAACATTTTTTTGTTTTATATAGAAAAATTTGAAAAAAACTACTTATGTATAATCATTTATAAAAATTGATTATGTAGTTTTTGAAAAAACACAATTTAAAAGTCACAACGGATAATAGAGTTTCTGTGAATTAAAAAATCAAATTTTATTCATTTTTGGGGGGTTTAAATGACTATTATATGGAATCAAAAAAAATGCTTTTGCAAATTTTTTTGTCCTTATAAAACTTTTGTCATTTTAAAAATCTATTTACTTGAATTACTTTAAATTTTATTTATTAATTACAATAATAACAATTATTACTGATTGAAAAGAAACTCTTGTTTTTATATTTTTAGTTAAGTTTTAAGTTATTGTAAAACAAATAGAAAAATCAAATAAACTTATTTAAATTAAAACGTTTGCAATTAAAAAAATTTAAAACATAATTTATCAAAATAAATAAAAATCATTAAAAAAAATTAAATTTAAAAAATTAAATTTTTATCATTTTTTAAACATCAAATGAAAAGAGTTGAGCCTTGAAAATGGTTTTGAAGTCACACCTCACCATTCACTTTACAGTCACACCTCACCACCTGACTAAAAAAATACACTTAACTTAATATATATATATATATATATATATATATATATATATATATATATATATATATATATATATATATATATATATATATATATATATATATATATATATATATATATACTCTTGAATGGTAGTTGAAAAGAGTTTCCCATAAACTGTAGTTTTAAAGAGCGCGATAATAAACCAGACCAGAAATAGTTTAAAAACTTAAATTTTTTTTTTTTTTCAAATGATAGACTGCCTGCCCAAACCAAACCCTCAGTCGATGTAGCAGCACTCCCTTGCTAGTCAGGCTATTTGTCAGTCAATGTAGCAGCACTCCGTTGCGAGTCAGGCTATTTGTCAGTCGATGTAGCAGCACTCCGTTGCTATAAGATTGTCAATGTAGCAACATTTACGCATGTTTTAAAAATGTTTTTTAATAAAATAAAAACAAAAACATCACTAATAAAAAAAAACTTTCTAGTCGTTATAATTGCAGTTTTTTAAAAAATTTTTAAAAAACAATAAAATTTAATGTACTTCCGCATTAATTTAATTGCTTTGGCATTTCGACGACAATCAAATACAGCTTAAGAGACGAGGTAATTAAAATTGTAGTCGTAAGAGACATTTTTTACAAAAACGCTCTTTCGACTACACTATATGGATATATATATATAAATTAATCATATATATATATATATATATATATATATATATATATATATATATATATATATATATATATATATATATATATATATATATATATATATATATATATATATATATATATATATATATATATATATATATATATATATATATGATTAAAGTAACTAGGACCTAGAGATTTTAAGTTTTAAAAAAAAGACAAGTACTTTTAAAACATCAAATAAATATTTAATTTATACCTTTATTTAATATATACCTTGTTTATTAGAAGCTATTATAAACCTATTTACAGTAAGTGAAAAAAAAAAATAAAAACAAACTTTTTTTGTATTTTGCATATACTAGCTCCAAACAGCCTTGGAGTCGTAATGTGTAATGATTAATGAATTACAAAAAAATAACCAAAAAATGACAATATAAATAAAAATTTAATGCATTATAAATTTATAATGTTTAAAAATACATTAAAATTAAAATAATATTTAAACTTGTTTGACAATTGTTGTTATCTTGGTTTTTTTCTGTGTTTGTTTCATGATTTTTTTTTTTGTAAAATAACTAGTAAAATAAGACCTGACTAAAAAAACTCACTGTAAACTATTTTTTAAGCCAAATATTAACTTTCAAATATTATTATAAATAGTTTAATTCCAATACTAAAAGTATAATGATGGCTTCCATTTGACAATTTTAAAACTTTTACAAAAATTTAATGGAAAGCAATTTTTTTTTACTGTGTAACAATTTATATTAAATGCAATATTTTTTATAAACAGAAATTACTTGTATATTTAAATAAATAATCAATTTCTTACCTTATCTAACACTATATTATTAGCTTTCATAGAGGCTAGTCCTGAGCAGCAAACCAAAGCAGAGCTGCTTGAGAGTCCTGCACTCTAGAATAAAAAAAACAAACGAAAATATAAATATAAAGTCTTTAAACAAATTTTATGTTTTTTTTTTGTTAACTAGCATTGATATTATTTATTTATATTATTATTACTATTAGCAGACTTGGTCAGGAAGGTGTGCGAAAACCAGTCTTTTTATGACCAATGGTTGGACATTAGATATTGTCTGGCAAAAAACTCAAACTGTCCGATCAATTTACAAAGTAATCAGACATTTTGACCAAAAGGAATTAAAAATAAATACTTTAGTATATATATATAAAAATTAAACTTAAAACTAAACTAAATTAAAAAAAAAATTGAAAAGCTTTAAAATAATACTCAAAAACTCAAAGTTAAAATTACTTTTTTGTTACGTTTTTAATTGAGTTTGAAATTAAATATTAAATTTTATTAAAGTTAAGCAAACGCCTAACTTTATTACTTCTATTGATAAATAATATTCTATTAATAAACAAACAAATTTTATTTAAATTATTGACAAGTGAAATTAACTTATTGAAAAAAAAAAAATTTTAAGTTGTTTATATTTTTCAAAAAGTTGCAAAAAAAAAAATTGTTTAAAAAAACAACGCTGTCTTTTTAAAATAGTAACTTTTAATTATTTCATGCTTTGATTAAAAGTCAAGTTTTAAAAAAACAATTTTAAACAACTCTTTATAAATGTAATAACAAAAAAAAAGCAATTAAATCTTGGAAAGATATAACTTTAAACTTCATAATTTAAAGTAACTTGAAAATGATATTATTTTAACAATAAATTTTTAGAAAGACTTTTTATGATAAATTTAAATGTTTGAAACTATTTTAAAAATAGTTTCAAACGTTTAAATTTATCATAAAAAAACATACTTTCTAAAAAAAATATATATAACATTTAATTTATACAATGTGTATAAAAGTTTTTAAAAGTTTTGATTTTATTTAAAGTTTTTTAAAGTTTTTATTTTACGCCTTTGCGTAAAATGAAAACTTAAAAAAAATCAATGATTTAAAGTTATTTGTAACGTAACAATTTTTTTTCATTGCATTTAAATAGTTAAAACATCAAAAAAACTGTTGTCATGTTGTAAAAAATTAAAAAAAAAAAAAAGCATGCAAGTTCAAGTCTATTTAAAAAAACATACAATATTAAATTAGAACTATTTTATAATAAAAAGCAAAAATCTGCGGTTTTTGCTTTTTATTATAAAATAACTTGGTTCCGTAAAACCGTAAAAATTATATTTAAAAAATTTGATAGGACACTGTCCGACCCAAACAAGTTTTGATCAGACATTTTGTCTGGGACTTTATAAAAAATTAAATTGAGCCTAACAATTTTTGTACAGGCTTGGTCGGGAAGCGGGTGCGATTGCACTCGATAACTGACCACGAATATAATATTTAGTTGCGAAAAACCGGCTAGATTTTTTAGTCGTTTTGAGAACATTTAAGTTAATGTATGTTTTCTTGTTTGTCCGCAAAATAATAAGTTCATTTTATTGTAATTTTTTAAATATTTTGTTTTACGGAATTACATGGAAACATACATAAACTTGAATGTTCTCCAATATCTTAGTGCGAAAAAAATAATAAAAAAATATTCGCGAACACAAAAAAATCGCCAAATTTACGAAAAACAAATTCCATTGGTTCAAAAAATACTAACCGAAATTTCTAGAGTATTCAAATAATACTAACTGAATGTCCTGAATATTCTGTTGAAATATTTTAAAATATTGTATTATTTGATTTTTGTTACGTTTTTGTGAGACTTCTAGCATAAATTATTTTAAGAATATACTATCGAACAAACTATTATTTTAATTCTTAGAGCCACATCTATAAAGCTATAAATGTTTTAAACTAACATTATTTGTTTTCAATAATAAATGTTTTAAATTTATATTTTTTAACTTGTCAACGTTTTGAAAATATATCGTAGATTTGGCGCTACTCGACTTTCTCCCCCCCCCCCCCACCTGTTTTTATGATTGATTTTTATAGAGTACATTACACTGATTCTAAATCATATAAAAACATAGGTCTGAAAACTTGAGGAAAGTACTCTAATTTGATGTTAAAGTATAAAAATCCATATTAAAAACGCTAATATTCCACCATCTTTTTAAAAACATTTTAATACTGTTTTCAAAATTTAGGTAATTATTTTTTTAACTAACAACCCAGTTTTTATTTTTGTTTTTATTTTTTTGATGTACATGCATCGACTGACAAATAGGAATTGGCGCAATTAAATGTACATACATCGACTGACAAATAGGAATTGGCGTAAATAAATGTACATGATTTGGGTCAGGGTTTGGTTGGGGCAGAAAATCAATAAGAAATACGTGAAGCGTCGAAATACTTGAAGCGTCAAAAGAAACCAGGGTTTTTTAAAGTTGTTATTGGTAAAGAATTTAATCATAACCGAGTATGACAAAGATGGCTAATATTAGCGTTTTTAATGTGGATTTTTATACTTTAACATCAAATTAGGGTACTTTCTTCAAGTTTTCACACCTATGTTTTTAAATGATTTAGAATCAGTATAATGTACTCTATAAAAATCAATCATAAAAACAGGGGGGGGGGGGAGAAAGTCGAGTAGCACCATAGATTTTATTAGTATATTCTTATTTTTTATATATAAGAGATGTATTTTTTATGTATGTAATGTATTTTTATGTATGTAATTTAATTTTATGTATGTAATGTATTTTTATGTATGTAATGTATTTTTATCTATGTAATTTTATGTATGTGTATTTTATTCAAATGTAATCTTTTAAAACAATTTGTGCGATTGATTTTGTAAACAAAAATATTTTCAATAATAACTCCGCTTTCAATGAAATTATTAATAATCGTCAAAGTTCATACTAATAATTTTAACCACTAATCCATTTTCCTCAGTGTACCCAATAACTGATTCTTTCCCCCAAGAAAAAGTTTTTAACTTTTTAGAAATTGGTTTACTAACTTCAATTATTTTTGCTTTAGCCATTCTTACAAACTCGTTATACTTAAAGTTACTTTTTTCAGTTTCAAATACTAATTAAATTTATAAAGCCCACTCACTAAACATCATCAGCGTTATTGTGAAGCAGTTCCGCTTCCTCCTCAAAAAGTAATTTAACGTTTTTAGTTAATTTCTATCTAGCTAATTGAATTTCTAGAGTAACTCAATGATTTAATTACTTTATTTCTTCATCTTACTGAGAAGAATTGTTTCAAATGTGTTAAACTTTTCAAACTATGCGAAGCATAAAAAACTTTTTTATTTATAAATAAATCATCTAGCGTTAGTTTTATTGGTTAAATCTTGCTGGACTTTTAAGGGTCGGGAGTTGCATTATTTTGGCGGCCTTTTTTATGTGCCACAGCGTAAAAATGACTAAAAAAATTACCAAATATTCCTCTTGACTATTTCCCCTAACATTGTGAGTTCCGGGGCTATAGCCCTACTAACCGACCCCACCTCCTCAATCTGCAACTGGAAATAAAACATAAGACATATATACTCTTTGATAAATCAAAAAAAAATTGTTTCTTTATAGTTGTTACTTTATATAAAAAATGTCGCTTTTATAAAAAAAATTTTATAAAAAAAATTATAAAAGAGCGACGTTTCAAAAATAATTGCTCAAATAAATTTATTTTGCTTAAAGATTTTTTGCATTAAAAGCTATTTTTCTTTTTTTAACTGTCTCTCATCGGTCCAGTTAATCTTATTGTGCTTTTTTGTTTGTTTTTGAAATGTTCTCAAAACGACTAAAAAGTCTGGCCGGTTTTTTGCAACTAAATATTATTTCCATGGTCAATTATCGAGTGCAATTGCACCCGCTTCCCGACCAAGCCTGTTTATATATGTTTTTCAGCCAAAATGACTCTGTAGGTGTCTAATAAAGGGTATTTGGGATTGAGGATTCAATTGAAGATGTTTTTGAGTCAATCCAAATTACCAATCAAAATTTGAGGCAAACCAGGTATATTGCTTTTTTTTTTTATCCAAAACTTCTGATTTTGAGATCAAAATTTGAAAAGCTAAAAATTAAAACTTTGAATTTTTTTTTTTATGTATTAGTTTTACATAAGGGCCAGCACATATAAAAATTATATGGCCTAAGCATTTATAGTAAAAAGTTAAAAAATGACCTGCCCTAATATGTATACAAATTTTTAAAACATCTTAACAGCCGTGGCCAAGTTTTTAAAATCAAATAGCATTTGCTTGGTCATATTATGGCGTAAAATCTATGCCTTCCTGGCTAAGCTTGTATTAGTAAAAAAAAAATTAATTACATTTTTGCTATTTTTTCATAATCTTTAAATTTTTTACCAAACTTATTTTATATTTTTATATACTATATTTTATGCTTATTTATATATTATATTTTACTCATTAAATCATACATAACATATTTGTAAATTTATTTCATTTTCATACTTTTTAATTCATACATATTTTTTAATTCTCTAAATAATTAATTTAGTTCTATTTTTAATTTTTAAAAAAAGAAAAGTTTCTTTATCTTGTTTTTTTTTCAAATTTTTTTAATGACAAATAAATTTAACTTATACTTGATTACTTATAATGATTACTTACTTTTGGTACAATACCATCAACCAAAACATTCATTCCAACAGGAGCTGTAACATGACCTTCACTTAAAATTGCCTAAACATGAGAATGAAAGAAATAAAAAAAAATAACAAGTAACAATTAAAAAAGCAAAAACAAACAAACAAAAAAATAAAAAAAAACATAAAAATCAATTATACAAAATTAGTATTAAATACCTAGACTTAACTTTGGTTTGCTTTGTTGGTTTGCAGAGTTAAAATAATTTTTGGTTTGATTTACATAACATTTAAAAGTGAATAAAGAAAAAAGTTTCAAGAAATTAAAAAAAAAAACATTTTTATCTACAATTAAGAGAAATATTTAATGATTACAATCTGAATAAACGCAAATCTTAAACTATTATTTGTTTTGGTGTTTTCAAAAATCTAGAAATTAATAGAAATTTTGTAATAAAATAAGATAATAATATGAATTTTGAATTAAACAACTATGAATTTTTAACTTAAATTTAGAAGAAACTGATTTAAGTGATTTTGATTTAGTCACAAAATACAAAAAAAATTTTTGAGTAAAATTTTCATGATTTCATTTGAGTAGCATAAGAGAGATCAAGAGATATGCATAAATTTAAATTAAAAAATTATGATTAGAAACCGTTGATCTATACAACCATCAAGAAAAATGTCTTAAAATGATGATGATAGAAGTGCTGATCACCTCTGATAAAATAATTTAATAAAAACATTTTAATACTTCCAATCTTAAGAAAACTTAATTTATTAAGATCACATTAATTTTATAATTATTTTTTTTATTTAAACTATTTTTTATATTTTTGGAAATAATCTAAAAATTATAAATTATCACATTTAATGAGCCCAGGTTACAAAACTGGCTGACATCCAGCTTTATTTTATTTAATCAGATCCTGGTCACCTTTCAGAATTAAGTCCAAGCCATTTACTATACTGCATCAATAGCTTTTAATAATTAAAAATAGACTGTATTTTTTTGTGTAATTGTTGATACAGTGTGAACATATTTTATAAAAATTAAATTTTTAAAGAATTCAATCTCATATATTTTGATAAAAGTAATATTCAAAATAAAACATAACTAAATATAATGATAAATTATTTAATGCAGGTTCAAAATAATTAACAAATACCTTATGTCCGCATAAAACATAATCGTACCATTGATGACCATCGATGGAAAAGTTTTTAATGTCAGTCTCAAAATCGCTAGAAACAAAGAATAACAATCTTTTTGATAAAATTTTTTTTCAAACTTTTTAAAAAAAATGTTGTAAATCAAATTTTTCTTCACAAACACAAAAAAATAAGGTTGGGAAAAAACTGGATTTTTTTATTTATTTAAAAACTCAAGTCTTTTAAGTAATTAATTCTAACTTTGTTGTATAATTTAGCAACTCAAAAACATCAGTAATGTTTTTGAGCTGCTGAATTGTTTTTTTTTTTATACAAAAAAAAAACTCATTTGTTTTACAGATTATTTAACAATTTAATTGTGTGAAATATAATTTACTTTTTTTTTTTAAGTAAATATTTCTTATAGGAAGATATTATAATTTTTCAAATTCAGCTTTTATTTTAAAAACACCAGGGCTGCTAAAACATGCAATTTTTTAAATGAATTTACTCCCAACATAGCAACCACTAAAATATTTTTTAAAAGATAAAAAAATAACCAACAAAATATTTCTTGTTGGAAAACATCCTAAGCCTTAAAATTAAGCTCTTATTTTAAAATCTTCAACACCAGGGCTGCTGAAACTTGCCATTTTTTTTTTAGTTTTTAATGGATTCACTCCCAGATCAATTTAAGCATCCTTGATTCTAAATGTAACAAAAAAAATAACAATAAAGTTAAATTTAAAATGCCATCCATCATGTGGAACAAAAAAAATGCCATCCATCATATAGAAAAAAAAAGCCATCCATCATGGGGAAAAAAAAAACTTTTTAAAAAAAGAATAGAACAGATAACATAAAAAAGAGTAAATAAACAGTTGACAAAAAACTTGAAAAACTGAAAATTTTTCAAATCAGGAAAACATGAAGTTGGGAGAGAATTCTGAAGCAAGAAAAAATTCAAGAAAAAAAAACTACAGTTTAAACTCTTGTAACTTAAACTACAGTTTAAACTTTTGTAATTTAAACTACAGTTTAAACTCTTGTAATTTAAACGACAGTTAAACTCTTGTAATTTAAACTACAGCTAAACTCTTGTAATTTAAACTACAGTTTAAACTCTTGTAATTTAAACTACAGTTTAAACTCTTGTAATTTAAACTACAGTTAAACTCTTGTAATTTAAACTACAGTTTAAACTCTTGTAATTTAAACTACAGTTAAACTCTTGTAATTTCTTGATGAATTTCTCCATAATTGTCAGACCAATTATGGATAAATTCATCACAGTATTTCTACTTGCAAAGTTGTCTCATTGTACTTAAAAGTGTACTTTAGTGTTATCAGAATTTAACATACATTTTTAACATAAGGAGCAACGCCAATCTGTATTTGATATTTAATTTTTGATTCACCTTGCTTCTAATGCTATTCCAAAAAAAATTTATTGACCATATCTTGCAAAATTTCAGCATGAGAAACTGGGTCATTTTTATGGGTATTTAAACATTAGACATTTTGAAATTGTTTGATGATTTTTACAAAAATATTTGCACATAATTGTTATAGCGTTATCATGCTTTTCAAGAATGGAAGAAAAATATGAAATATACTGAAAAACATCTTACAATAATTGTAAAATGTTGGAAATAAATTGTTGTTAACACTTAAATATGCTTTCCCAAAAAGTTTGATGGTCTTACTCATTTATATATTTTAGTTATTATAAATTCTTAAAAATTAAAATTTAAACTTTGTCAAAAATTTTCAAACAAAAATAAACTTTTAATAAGTTGAATAAATCTGTATGATTAATTAAAAAATAATTACTTCTTGTTATTGGGAATGAAATTTTATTTAAAAACTAATCATTCAAATTTTAAAAAACCTAATTTGAAAATTAATTTTTGTTATTTACATGCTTTACATGTTTGTATAAGGTAATTCCATGCCAAATGACCCAGAAATTTTTGAAAATGTCACCTCATATGTCAGATGCTGATTTTTATACAGTTGACTTAGTAAAAAAGAAATTCCTAGAAAATTTTAGCCGCTGGCTCTAAAAAGATCTAGAATGTGACCATTATACTTTTAGTAGATATTGGCCAGGTCCCTCTTACCCCCTTATAATTGCTTTGTTTATTTAGAGGTTACAAGTTGCATAACTTTAAAAATACTTGATCTTTTTACTTTAGAATTTGTACCTGGTTATTTTCAGGAGTGACAAATCCAATGAAATGATTGAAAATGTACCTGGTTATTTTCAGGGGTGACAAATCCAATGAAATGATTGAAAGTGTACCTGGTTCTTTTCAGGGGTGACAAATCCAATGAAATGATTGAAAATATAAAAAATAAATACTAAGTACCTGTATTTATAAATTTAAATAAATTTAGGCAATTTTTTATATACCTAATTTTGATGCTCAAAAAATCCACATGGCCTTGATGATATCGAAACTTTTTTTTACACATTTTATATAACTTGATCTTTGAGAAAACATAAGAATTTTGATCTGCAAGTATATAGTTTTCCATATATGGATAATTGGGGCATGGTCCTCACTTTTTTGTAGAAGAAAATTGCAATTGATTCCAGACTAGCTGGATCTCAGAAACTTTTGATATTTCTGTAGTGCCGATAAACAGAACCGAAAAAACCAGGGAGAGGGAGGGGATGAGCCGGTCATGTGCCCCAGTTTTTTGAAGAGAATCTTTGTAATTTATTTACTACTTTCTAAACAAACTGAAGATTTGAAAATTTCAGCATTTATGTAGTCCTTTTAAATGTAAAAATGAAAAAAAAAACTTTAAAATTTAAAAAAAAAATCTAAAATTTTTTTTTCTTCTTTTAACAAGGCTGCAAGCAACCACTAATAGAGTTAAAAGTTACTGGAAGAAAAAAGATGAAGTTTATAGAGCAAGATAATGTTTGATAGTCGACTTAAAAGATTACAAATTATATGAATCAGAAAAACAAGATGAAGGCATTGAATTCCAAAGAACTGATGTTTACGGAAAAAAATAAATGAATAAGAATTTTCTCAATGCAAAAATATTAACATTTTTATTTAATAAGAACTAGTAACAGTTTAGAAACATTTTATCATTACATAAGTATAGAAGAAAATTATTACCTATTAAATTCATTATTAACACTTTAAACATTAACAAATATATTACAATTAAACAATCTTGTTAAGGAGAAAAAGTTATCTTTTACATTCAAAGAACGATAAAAGAAACCAATCGTTGTTGAGTTTTAGGGGTGACATATCCAATGTTTAAATTATTATACAAATATATTACAATTAAACAATCTTGTTAAGGAGAAAAAGTTATCTTTTACATTCAAAGAACGATAAAAGAAACCAATCGTTGTTGAGTTTTAGGGGTGACATATCCAATGTTTAAATTATTATTAAGCACATGTATTTATCAATTTAAATAAATTTAGGCAATTTTGAATAGTTAATATAAACTAATTTAATTAAAGCAACATAAACACCATGGTAACCATAACCATGGTGTTTTTATTATATTAGTTAATATTTTCTTATTTTTAATTCAATCTGGAATGCAACTTAGTAATTAGTTTTACAATAAGAATAAATTTGTGTGATTTTTTTTTAAAAACTGTCAAATTTGTACTTGTCATGAAATAATTTATTGTAGAAAAACTGATTTAAAGAGATTTAATTGTTATAGAGAAGATGCTAGAGAAAAATTAATTTGGAGATCTGGAATAACAAATAACAAAATTTTAACAATGTTCCATCATCATGAAAAGATTTAAAAAGTAGAACAATTCCTGCAACTAAGCTATCATCAATTTAACCCAGAATATATATTAACTTTAAACAAACAAGTGAAGATGCTTTTATAATATTTTTTTATGGTATTTTAAGTTTTCAAACTAATCAGCAAACTAACATTGGTACATTAAAATTTGGAAAGTTTATTCTATGTAAATACTGTGTTGATATGTTTCATTATATAGGTATAATAAATGAAACTTATTGTATTAATAACTTTTCATGACAGCAGTTAAACTTTGTCATCTGTTAAAGATATTATGGCAATGTTTATGAGTCTGCACAGCCCTTTAAAAAACTTTCTTGCCATCTAGAGCAGATAAGTGTTGTGTTTTAATTACCAATACAACTTGTATCATTTATGCACCTGTATCAATAACTGACATTTTATTTGTTAGAATTTTGTTTTATAAATAATTAAATAAAACAGAGCAAGTATAACCCCAAAAAATTTTTGAAGACGATATATTTAAGATTATCTTTACTTTGTTAATTTTTTTTTTAAAAAAAAAAGTGGGGCAAGGTCTCTGGTGCCTCAACCCCATGGACCCTCTGGTTGTCTCAAGGACCCTCTGGTTGTCTTAATACCTCTAAATAAACATATTCTGAGGGGACAAGAGAGACCTGGCCATTATCAACTAAAAGTAAAATGATCACATTCCTAAAATGTAAAATATATTTCAATATATTAAAAATAAAAAATGATCATCTTCTTTGAGCTAGAGACTAGAATTTTCTAAGAATTCTTATTTTACTAAGTACTCTCAATTGTATACAAATTAGAAAAACCTGAGACATATGGTGACATGGCCTGGGTCAAATGACATGGAACTACTCTATAAGCAAATGTATGCTGTTGTGGCAATTGCAAAAGGCCAAATTTCCTAGTTCTGCATCACATGCAAGGTCTAAAACCTCATACCAAGCCTCGGCGGGAAGAAATAAGTGCAAGAGTGGTGAAAAGCTCTCCTAAAACGAACATGACAAGCTATGCAAGCTGTTTCTGTTAGTTCTTTAGACAAGCATTGTTTTTATTGCTTTTAAAAAAAGTTTTATATTATCTTATTGTAATAGAATGTAGGGACTTTAAGAATTGTTAAAGATAATTATTAAAATGACTGCATTTTTTATTTTAGTTACAATGATAATTAAACTTTTGAGAGAAAAAATTATAATTTATATAACTAAAAATTTTTTAAAAATTATAATTTGTCGTAAATTATAATTTTTTTTCAAAATTTTTTTTTTAGATATAATTTTTTTCAAACCTGTAGTTATTAAATGAGATTCAAAAGAATTTATAAATTGCACAATAAGGTTGATACCTATATGTACACTCAGTTTTTTTTGTTGTGCATCTAATTGAGAAGTCTACAAAAATATTGACAAAAAAAATCAAATCAAATTTGAACAAACTTTCTCAGACATTAACACAATATTTAAATCAGACCTTAACTATTTTTAATAATCAACTATATTATTCTTCATTTAATCGTCTATATTATTTTTAATAATTAACTATATTATTATTTTTAATAACCTACTGTATTTTTTTTAATAATCAACTTTATCATTTTTAATAATCAACTATTTTTTAAATAATGTAAACTTTATTCATGAAAATTCTAAAAAAAAAAAATGTTACAATTTTGTGACATTTTATATTTTATATCTCTGGCTATAGAGACCATAAAGAATCTATGGTTAGATTAGAGAATATGATTAGACTTTTTACCTATAGGTATCTTACTTATAGGTGATATGACAACTCTCATTAAATCAGATGCTAAGCTTTTTGAAAAACCTAAAATGAAACCTCCTAAAAGCATTATAACTTCTTTTTAAATTGCCAAAAGTATTTTCACACTCCTGTTATTTTTAGTAAAGTATTAAGAAATCATTACGCACAAATTAGTATTAAGAAATCATTACGCACAAAATATAAACATTAAAAAAAAATTATTTTCACTTAAGTAACCAATCATTAATCATTAGAAGTAACCATTCATAAATTTTTAAAAAAAACCCTTTTTATTGTGGAACTCCATAATTTTTACTAAATTTAAAGTGTTTTTTTTTTTTTTGAAAAAATGAATAAAAAAAAAAAAATTTAATTTTAAAACAATTGAAAAAAAATTTTTATATAAAAAATATTTTATATTTTGCTTGAAAAAAATTAATGATAAATCTTTTTAAAAATACTTATAATATTGTAATACTTTACAATATAATAAAATATAATAAAAAAATAATAAAATTAAATGTTATATTTGTCTCTAATTACTAATTGTTTATTTATACATTTGTTATTCAAACTATAATACTGCAGCCATTTTTCAAAACGCCTTAAGATGCTTATTATGCATTTCGAGAAAAGTTAAAAAAAAATTATTAGGAGCAACTTTTTGTAAACAATTTTTTTAAATAATAATTTTAATAAACTTTTTCATCTCTTTGATAATATTTATTCAACAATGTTTAATGGCATCTAAATTAGCTTATTTTCTAAATTCAAAAAGTCAAATTTGATTTTTTACCTAAAGGTGTTTTGAAAAATAGCTGTGGAATATATAGCATTAAAAAGTAAAAAATCCTAAAAAAAAAACAACAAATAAACTTTTAATGCAAAGTTTTCTTTTGGTTTCACCATCTACTAAATGAATGCAAGAAACGACATTAAACTTACTATTATGAGTACCACAGTGACTGGATTTCAAGAACCTAATACTACGGACATCACACTGTGGAAAATTTTAGGTAAACTATAATACTACAGTTACCAGACAAAATGGGGTTAAAAGAGACCTTTCATAAATCATAAAAACAATCTCAAAAAATTCATCTACATGTTAATGGCTATTTTAATATTATTTAAAACCAGAAAGTTTAATAAAAAAATTTAATTTTAGTATAATTAAGTTATGACAGTACATGTGGAGAAGAAACAATTCTTTAAATACCATAGTACTTAAGAAACATATTAAACTTTTTAAAATTTAAACTAGAGTTTTTTTACCCAATCCTTTTATTAATTTTTTGTTTTGTTTTTTTAATGTTAATAAAATAAAATAGTAATGTCAGAAAAAAATGAAAAATTTGTGTTTTAATAACATATAAAAAGAATTGGGTTTTAAAAAATACATTTTTGGTTTTACTTGTTTTTAAAGCAATTAAAATTAAGAAATACTACCATTTTATACAAAGAAAACTGTAAACAAGTTGTTATAAAAAAAGTTGTTATAAGAAAAGTTGTTATAAAAAAAGTTGTTATAAGAAAAGTTGTTATAAAAAAAGTTGTTATAAAAAAAGTTGTTATAAAAAAAGTTGTTATAAAAAAAGTTGTTATAAGAAAAGTTGTTATAAAAAAAGTTGTTATAAGAAAAGTTGTTATAAAAAAAGTTGTTATAAAAAAAGTTGTTATAAAAAAAGTTGTTATAAAAAAAGTTGTTATAAAAAAAGTTGTTGAAAAATATAGATTTAAATCCTAATCTTTCAAACAGATAATACTCTACTAATTTTTTTAAACAACTTGCTGTTAATAAATTTTTTGCTTATAAATAAATTTTTAGTTTCTAAAAGACATTCATTTTAAAATCAATTTAAAAAGCCAATGAAAATGGTATGCGGTAATGGTGTAGTGGTAGAGCGCTCGCTTCATAAACGAGCGGTTCCGAGTTCGATCCCCACCACGTCCCTGGTAGTACCGCGCTCAACTCGTTTCTCCGCGCAGCGGCCTTGTTTGTCAAGGTTCGTGTTTCGGAGATATAGAGTTGAGAGAGGGTTATAGCCACAAAATAAGTAGCCTCCTCGTCTGTAGTGGCCTTCTCGGCCTTGAGGAGGTGAAGTAAAATAAAAAAAAAAAAAAAAAAAAAAATGTAATAAACAGACTATGTAAAATTTTCTTGTTAAAAAACAACTTCGAAACTATCAACTTCAAATTCATGAATTTGTTACTTACATAAAGTTAAATTGAATGTTATAACATTCTTAAAAATATTATTGTCTAAAACTATGCTCTTATAAAGCAATGCTTTTATAACCAATTAATCGTTAACCCTTTTGTAACAAGATGCAAAAAATAGAAAAACTTCAGCTAATATATCACTCTTCCAACCTGAAATCTGACTTTTAAAAGTAACCATTTACAAATCCTTAAAAATAACCATGAATTAATCAAAAATTACTTGAATAATTGGTTTGTATTTGACATTCTATAAAGAGCTGTATCATTGGTTGATACAGCAAAGACAATATCTTGCTCTAAAGCCATAGGAAAAACTCCATATCCACAATAGTCTATGTGTTCACCTACATAAATATAATATAATAATATAATAAAACAATATAATAATTAAATATAAAACTGTAAAACACAAATAAAATATATTGGTGTAAACAAAAAACATAAAATAACAAAACAACTAATGTAAAATAAATTATAATTAGTGTAAAGTAATAAAGGTTTTTTTCTCTAGTGAAAATTTTTTTTTGCATTAAACATAGTGTTTAAAGCAAAAAATTTCAAAAACTTCAAAAATTTCTTCTCACACCTTTTAGATGTGTTTTAAAAACAACACTAACTTTAAACACTAAAATCGCTTTTAAAATATGCTTTTAAACAACATATAGGGGTGCTAAATAGTGCTGGAAAATTGGAAGAGTCTTAAATATTATCAAAAAAAGTATATTTTTAAAGCATGTCATTCTGGGTCTCAAAAAGAGCAAAATTATATTAGTTTTATTTTTTTTAAGTAACTATTTTGTATAAAAATTAGCCTTAAATTTTATTGCGTTAAAATGAAGATTTTTGCTACATAAAACAAAGAAATTATTTTTTGATAGTTTTTAAAATAAGAGATGTTTTTATAATATATGATTATTATTACTGCAACTGTTATGTTTTCGCTTCTATTAAGACCCAAGATAACTTTTAAAGAATATATATTTTTTGAATAACATCAGGATCTAAACCCTAAAATCCCCCTGAAAGGGGGATTTTAGGGTTTCTTGTTCTTATTCCTTTATCACAGTAAATTTTTTTTTTGTAAAGAATCTTTTCGCCATACATATGAACATAAAGAAATTTGGAATATTCTTTTTGTTTAAAAGTATTTCAAACATTTAAAAACCTTCCTATGCCACAGTTGATACCTATACTGTAAGTTATAAGAATGCCTCAACAACAAAAAAAATTATCAACGTGTAATTTTGATAATTTTTTAATCATCTAAATATCCCAAAATATATCCCTTTATTATCTAATTTATGTGTAATTAAGGTGGTCAAAAAATTTTTCAATTTGAGATTTGTATCTTCCATGTGAAAGATTGTCTAAGTAAATAATTTAAGGCTGATACCTCATTTAGTTCATAAAATATTGCTATTTAACAACAAAAAGTCAGCATAAATCAGAATATTGAATCCTGAATATATATAAATAAATATTGAATCTTATGAACCGTAAGGAGTTGGAGGTTCCAAATTTCAAATTTTCCTAATTTGCATAAACTCGATAACATATTTAAAAAATTAGCAAAATCCAAACATGTGGTGACATTTTTTGTTTTTTTTCTACTGCTTTGAGATTGAATTACCCTATTATTAAAAAGAACACTATATTGTAAAATAACCACTATATATAGGAGCAAATCCGCCATTTTTAAAAAACACAGGTTCAAATGGAGAGAAATGTGCTAGTAGATATTTTTTTAAAATGTTGTTTTGAAAAACCCTACTTACCAATAATATTGACACGGCCAGGGGCTCTTGCAAAGAATGATGGAAAGTGGCCATACTTTTTGTGAAAAGTTTCTTTCAAAATAACAAATCTATTAATAAAAATTTTAACATATAAAAATAGACAAAAATAAAATATTTTTAAAGGAAAATATAATCTTATTATCTTTAATTGTTTATTCATTCATTCTTATTATCTTTAATTGTCTATTTATTCATTCATTCATTTTGTATTTTTGAAAATTTACATATTTAGCAGTGGCACTCAGCACTCAGCAATAATTTATATAAAATTATTTATGCAATTCTTCTCCTCTCTCTCATCTTAATCAAAAGCAGCTGGTTACAGTGAGCAGAGTAAATTTGTTGATATTATACCTTCAAACAACACTATTTCTAACATCCTTTTATACCAAGAAAGAAAAATATATTACCAAGCAACCCTGTAAAAATGCAACTTACAATGTAAAATTATTTACATAATAAGTGAAATGTGTCAGCCATCCTACAATGTTAATTATGTCAATAAAAATTACATTCTGCAATTTAGTTTAAAAAAAGTTATAATAAAATATATTGATGATTTTTACGCTTAATTAAGACTTTCATATTAAAAAGATATAGATAAAAAACATCAATAATATTAAAAAAAAATCATCACCAAATTATTTAAATATATCCTTACAGATATTTGTGGCCTTTCAAGTAATTTTTCATCTACTAAAGCTTACCTTTTGTAAAATTTATAACAAAATTTTAATATCAGACTTTAATATCAAAATTCTTAACAAAATTTTAATATCATATTTTAAAAAATTGGAAAACATTTTGAAATATATATGTATATATATATATATATATATATATATATATATATATATATATATATATATATATATATATATATATATATATATATATATATATATATATATATATATATATATATATATATATATATATATATATATATTTCCCTCATATTTGTCTTAATTTAGCTTTTAACTGATGTTTTCTCAAGTTTTTTGACACCTTTCTAATTTTTTTGATGGGAATTGACTTAAAAAGTTAAAAAACATAAAATTGCAAAAAAATGTTGCATAAAATTTAAATTTTTATTTTTGAAAAATTTTTGGAAACCTGGAAAAACTAAAAGTTTAAAGAAATATCTAGAATTCCATATATCTAGAAATAGATAACCCCTGTATAAGGTTGACTAGAATTTATTTCCTGATTTTTTTTTTCATAGTTTGTGGGCTGATGCCTTTCACCTCTCAGCCATTGCCTCTCTGCTGTTACCATGCTCAGCCATTGCCTCTCTGCTGTTACCTATTGTGCAATAGGTAGCAGCAGAGAGGCAATGGTTGTTTCTTTTGCATGCTGGTCTTCTCAATAAGTTTGCTTCATATGGTGTATCTGGGAAAGTTTTTGAAGTTATTTAATCATTTTTTTTTAATTGCATTGCTAAATTTGTTCTTTAGAGTACTACAATGTTCAATTCTTGTTCCTGTGCTATTTTTTTTTTATACTTTAATAATCTTTTCAATAATTCTCTCACTTAAATAGTTATATAGAGAAAACAAGGAGTATTTAACTACAGAGCACATTTTTAAATATTTTCTAACAAAATTACAGTATGAAACTTTTATGTTTTGTCTGTTACTAAACACTGGATCCATAAAAACCTATCTTTAAAAGCATTTGTACTTATTTTACACAAATTGATATAAAAGGTTGTTTTTCAAGTTTTGAAAGTTTTAATTGATGACAAATTTATGTAAGTTAGGTCATTTAATGGAATTATTAACAATTCAAGTTGATAATTACAAGTTTCTTAATTTATAAAAAATTTTGTGTTTAAATTCTCTTAAATGATATCAAAAAATAAAAAATTTGGTATTATTTTTTCATTTTATTAAAAGCGGCTTCTAATGATATCTTTGAATTTTATACTACACAAGTGTGATTTTTGCTTGCCACAAACCTAAAATTTATAATATATAAAAACATGGACAAAGCTTTCAGAATCTTTTCCTTATTTGTGACCAATTTTATTACTTTTTTACTTCATTTTATATTATTTTTAAAAATATTTTTTCTATTTATTTAGAAAAAAAAAATTATTTATCAATATTAAAAACATGATCTCAAAATTTATAGACTTTAATTTATTGTTAAAAGTTTGATGTTAACAACTTATAACAATGTTATAAGTTAACATTTTCATAAGTTGTTAACAACTTATAATAATATTTGTTAACATCAAACAAAGTTTGATGTTAACAAATATTGTTAATACAAACTATCTATAAACTTTATAAACCTTTCTTTCATTTTTAAGTTATCACCATATAGGTGCGTAACATTCAAGCATGGAACAGTATCTTCTTGGAATGCCATTTTCAACTTCAGAAACAAGTAATAAACTTAATATGCCAGGACTAAAAAAATATGCCAGATAAAAAAATAACTTTAAATAAGAGAAATTCAACCAAAAACGAAAGTATAAAAAAATTTGACCAATCCAATGAATGATACTTATTCGATCCGTTAAAATTTAAACCAGTACAACCGGTACAAAAGCAGGTAGTAACGTAAATGTAATTTAATTTGGCGATACTAAAATTGTTTTTATCAGTTTTTATTTATATTTTTAATCATAGTACCATTATTCCCACGTTTAAATACCAGTTAAACTTAACATACAACATAGCTAGAAATATCTAGGGACTCCGCGAGCCTTAGTGTGGCCAGAGTTGAGAAAAACCCCTCAAAACCAACTTCTTTATTAGAGTATTTTTTTTTTATATAAATATAATCTAGAGGCCCCCAGCACTCTAAAACTGATATAATTTTTTCCCTAACATGATTTTTAATCTCAGTATATTTTGCCACGATAAAGGTAATATTATCTTGGGTAATATTTAAAATTTGCCACGAATAAAGGTAATAATACCTTTAAATATTGGTGAAAATGAAAAAAAAACCATGTAATAAAATAAAAAAAACCATATAATAAAAAAAACATAAATGTTTAAAAAACCATATAATAAAAAAAAAAAACATATAATAAAAAAACCCATATAATAAGAAAATATGAGGCTAGTAGACTATTTTACTACATTTTACAACGGAAAAATGAAAATTTAATGTTTCATATTTCCTCTTAATATTTCAATAAATGATTTCGGTAGACTTATAAATACCGTTAAGAAATTAAAATCTTGTAAAATTGTCTACTGGCCTCATATTTTTTATAGTGTTAACGTAAGTGTTAAAAAAAAAGGGGTTTTATTAAAAAACGCTTTGAAAAAAAGCAATCATAATTAATTTTTTTAAATTGCTTCTTTTCAAAGTGTTTTTTAATAAAAACCTTGTGCAACCTTTTTTTTTTACACTTACCTTAACGCAAGCAAAAAAATACTAGGCCGCACGCGTGATCAATACTCTCGTATATAAATAATTTAAATATAAATTTAACATTAAATTTTCTGAGCTCAGCTGAGTGCAGTAGGTGCTAGGCTTTTTATTATAAAAGATATCCAATTGTAGATTTTGCTTTAAAAAGACTGAAGAAGACGCATAAAAAAAAAAAAAGAACGGTTTTAGATTTTTATTTATTTAAATGTTATTAAAATCTTTTTTTAAATTTTTAATGTTGTTGTAGAAAGTTTTAATGCTGTTGTGGAAAGTTTTAATGTTGTTGTGGAAAGTTTTAATGTTTTTGTGGAAAGTTTTAATGTTGTTGTGGAATGTTTTGATGTTGTTGTGGAAAGTTTTAATGTTGTTGTGGAAAGTTATGAAACATTCTATGACGACTATGTGGTTTTAGTTGAATTGTTTTTTTATTAGTAACTATTTTTGCTATGTTTAGGTTTTTCTTTAATGTACATTTTTGTGGATTGTTGTATTATGTTAATTTTATGTAAATATGTGTAAAAATATGATTTATGGAAGATTTATTTCTTGTATTTATGTAGGCAAAAAGTTTTTGTTTATCTAAAAAGAAGAGCTTAGTTTAGTAAATAAAAATTAGTTTGTTTACGATAAAAAAAAAATTTTTAGTTTCTCGTTGTATTAAAAGAGAGAAAACTACATCATCTAATACTTTTTGTTTTAATGTCGTCAAAATAACTTTTCTAAAATGCCATTTTCATCTGAAAATTGTATTTTAAATCGGTCAAATATGTTTTGTTCATTTAAATAACGCCCAAAAATCGGAGAAGCAGTATATTATTTGTGAAAAATAGTGATTTTATAGACCTTAATGTTAATTTTTTACACTAAAATAAAAAAGCGCGCTACTCAATGAAATTCCAATCCCAAAGCAAGCAATGCTCTTATGATGAAAATGCTTTGCAACTACGTTACTAGAGTTTCCAGAATGAGGAAGATTTAGGGAAAAGTCAAAGACATAAACAGGTTAAGGATTCAAATCAAGGATTCATATGCCTAGACTAGAATTCCCAGATCGCAATTACCTATATTTACATATACCACATGCCCCATCTAATTAAAAAACCGTCGGGACATCCCAGCACAACCCTTTAGTACCCTAAAATGACCATTTGAGTTGTCATGACAAATTTTAAAGTCCTTATATGCCCAAATTTCAATTCCCTGACCGCAATTACTTATATTTAGACAAACAACATGTCTCATTTTTTTTTTTTTTAAGCATCTTCTCTTCCAACAATGCTGCAAGCAACAACTAATTAATGTTGTAAGTTACTAGAAGAGAAAAGATGAAGATTGTAGAGCAAGATAACGATTGACAGACGACTTAAAAGATTGCAACTTATATGAACCAAGAAAGCAAGATAAAGGAAACGAATTTCAAAAAACTTATGTTCGAGGAAAAAAACTAGAGGAATAAGAGTTTTTGGAGCACTTAGGAACAGTAATAGAGAAAGGATGAGACTTAATTGAATGACGAGAAACACGAGAGTAAATTTTAGTAGATAGCACAAGAGATGCTAGTTCAGTGCCCATTATAGTATTTGTAGAAAAGAGAAAGAGAATTAACATTACGACGATGTGATATTGGTTGAAGGTTGGCTGCAAAAGCAGGTCCAACTTGTCTACAATGCGTTTTTGCATCTGGTCAAGCAACGAATCAACCTGTTTGACTCCTATATCAGGTAGAACGCAACTAGTGGAATCAAGAGATGATATTGATGAAAAGTTCTTAGCAAACAATTCAGCTTTGTCTTTAGTTGAGGTGACAAAGTCTGAACCATACAAGAGTGGTGGAATTACAAACTTGCTTTTATTATTGATACTATTAAAGATTCTTCAGAAGTTACGAGAGTCTTATTTTTGTGATGAAATACGAGATTTCATGACCTGAGAATAGCGGGCTTTGGCATTTGACAAAACCTTTTTATGGTTCTTAGCAGTAATAAACAGACGTCTGTTTTCTGGAAAATTGTTTTGCTGATAGATATGGAAGTAATTGTTTTGATTGGCAATTGCAGCAGCACAATGTGAGGAAAACCATGGAGAAGAGTGAGTTTTGACCTGAAATTATCGAGAGAGAATAAAGGATTCTATGCCAGCTTGAATTCACGAAGTTATGTAAAAAGAATATTTGTCAACAGTAAGACGAAAGATTTCTACCCGAGGGCCATCACGAAGAAAATCACGGGAAGATTCCCTTACAGCTTTAAGGTAGTTGTAAGATGTACGATAATAGGAGAGTTCTGATGATAAAGAAGAATGAGATAATAGTTTTAGAGAGATCAAATTGTGATCAGAGGCACCTTAGGGTTAATGTGGAGAAACTGAGCACTAATTAGGATTAGGAACAAGACATAAGTTGAGCAGAGAAGGTAAATGATTCGGATTGTCTGGAAAGCGAGTTGGAAAGTTGACGATTTGAGTTAGGGATTAAGAAAGGCAAAAATTGTGGGCTTTAATGCCTGCAGAGTCACTGACACTAGAGTCAAGCCATTTAGTGTGATGAATATTAAAGTCACCGACAACAATAATATTTGCTGATGGATAAAGAGAGACCTTGGTCAATATGATAAGAAATAACATCAAGAAGTACACAGTCTTGAGATGAAAGAGAGCGATATAGAATAAAGAGAAAGGTGATAGAGTGAGGTGGTGCTAAACGAAAGCACATAAAAGAGTAGTCTGTGGATTCAAACCTAGTTTCTCGACAAATGGGTGAATTCTTACGAATGTAAATGCCCAGGCCAAGCATGTGGCTATTGGAGTCTTTACGAATTATAGGAAGATAACCATCAACACTAAGATCACAAGATGATACAGCTGAACTTAAATTAGTCTCACAAAGAGTAAGTAGAAGAAAAGTTACTTCAATAACCACAAATATTGGTGAATGATATGTTTACCAAACTTGGTGATGACATAGGTTTTTTGTGTTTTATAGCTTTTGTTACTTTATTAATTTTTATATTTTTCAAAGAACTTGACTCGAAACATAGATTGTATTCAGTACACAGTACAGTACACAATAACCTAAGAAGTTGTCTCATTATTATTAATAAACCCTAAGCCGTAACAAAGGACTTCAATGTGGCCTTGGAAATGCACACCAGAAGTACAAACAAAGACACCATCCATGCGCAACATGGCGCTGTTAATACTTTGATATTTTTCAGCTGTTATTGGAATCAGCCTTTTTGAGAGCTACTACAGAGTTTGGAAACCTGTCTACCAGCCGGCATTAGAACCATAAAACTAAGTTTTAGAGCTGTACCCTCATTAGGAGATAATAAAATGAGTTGCCTAGTCATAAAAACAGAGACACAAGCTAAACCCATACATCGAGTCAAGAAGATCTAGCATTTAACCTCCTAAACTGAAAACAATGTATCAGAGGTACATATGCGCCAGCCTAATAGATGAAGAAGGGGTGTGGGGTTGGTCAACAGATAGAATCTGTGTACCCCTAAAGTCTTTGTCTAAGAGGGCTTCTACAAGACAGCAACCGGATGCATTTAACATCTGTCCAAGATGAGTATTTTTATACAGACTCTATCTCTAGCCTTTACTCTACCAAGAGCCCCAAGATAGGAAGTATTTTATGTCGGAGTTAGCATCTCCTAGCCTTTGCCTAAAACAGCGTATCCTACAAGGCAGCAGTACAGAAAGCAAACTGTACTGGGTTACATGTTACTATTTGCAGAATAAAAACTAATTTAAAAACCATAGAGACATTTCACGACCACCCTTATCAACCCAAAAAAATTAGCATTTGCATTTTCATGGCCACTTCAAACTTAAAATTGAGTCCAAAAATAAAATCCTTGATCCCAAAAACCTCTATAAACATGTATCATATGTCTATATTTAACCCATAAATAGTTTTGCCATTTTTAAACAATTCTGGGCCATTGTGCGCCGCCGTTGACAGCAGGCTTAGGCTGGGCCGCCGGGATACCGGGAGATTCCTAGTGGACCGATTGGCATAAAAAAGTTATCATTTTTAGTTAGGCTGCATTTTATTTTCCGTTGAATATTATAATCAACGGTAAATTAAAATGTGACTAAAAATATAATCTCTTTTTTCTGACCTTTAATAGGTTATAGCCAATTATAGACCAGAAAAAAAGTTATTACATTTCATGCTAATATATAGATGTGCTATAGCATATCTGCCGGTAAATTTGATCATCTTGATCTAAAGAAGTTCTTATTAACGTACACAAACCAAATAAGTTAGTAAATGTTAAGCTATTTATTTTGTAACTACGTAGATTTTAAATTTGTTGTGTATTGTTTACTGACAGAAAAGCCAAAGGTAGGTATTGTTGATAATATTTTGTTGTTATAAATTATGTTACTAATTATTTTGTTGTGTTATGTATTTTGATGATTTGCGGGTTTAGGCAAAAGCTAACATAGGCTGCAGCCTATGGGTGACATCAGGTCATGAGGCATCACAAAAATAAAGAAATAAAAAATAAAATAAAAAGAAGAAAGAAAAAATAAAGTCATTTAAAGCTTTAGTTTCTTATAACTTTACTATTTAACCCAAGTTAATTAGTCTAATAATTTTGAAAATATTTAGTATTTGAAAATTTGAACACTGTTTATCACTATTTGGCAAGTAATTAATGTTTAACAATATTTTATGGTTTAGCTTGAATAACCTTATTGTTTAGCTTAAATTACCGTTTTAACTTTATGTTTTCATTTTATGCATATACACGTTGTTTTTTTTTTAATGAAAACATAAACGGAACATACTAATGCATTACACCTGTAGTCATCAACATTCGCTAATATTAGTAAATCAATTATGGTTTTTTTTTGCTCATTAGTTTTCAAATTACAACTTATTAGTTTTTAAATTGCCCAAAGAATTAACTAAAAATAGTGTTGTTTTAGTTTTTAAATTACCTTTGGGTAATTTAAAAACTGGAAAAGTTACCTTTGGTAATTAAAAAAAAAAAAATTACCTTTGGGTAATTTAAAAACTAATAAGTTGGATGTAAATAATTGCATGTGCAATTATTTACATACAATTATCCTAACTTTTAGTTAAAATACAATCACTTAAGATACTATCTTTACAATCCCAGCTGTAGAAAATAGAAACAGCCGAGGAAGTCAATGCAAATCTTGCCAAAAAATGTATTGTTTGTTGTTAATTTGTACTCCAGAAGTTTAATAGCATAGTCTTGCGTATTCAAATTTGTTTATGGCTTACAAGTTTGTGTTAAAATTATCCTCATCAAAAGTTGCTTGTAAAAGGCCATTCTCGAAATTGAAGTATATTTTGAACAGATTAAGAAATTTTGTGTGCCAGTCAAGTTTACAATCATTCATGCTGATATCTTGTGAATAGGACCTTCTTCCAAAAATTAATAATAATGCAATCATTAATGTTTTGGGATTGACTAGTCAAACGATAAAAAGGTTGCTATACTAGTCAATAGTGAATGGTCGACTATGTCGATTGTGTCGACTATTTCTAGACTTCAACTTATAGCAATGTTATAGAAATATTTGTTTATCAATATTGAAGCTTGAAAAATTTAAAATTTCTTTTTTATACATAAAATAATAATTAATATTATAGAAGGCACCTCAAAATAAAAAATTCCTTCATTGATAATAAAGGTAAGTTTAGAAAAGTAAGGGCGCCAATCAGGGTCACTGTCCCGAGAAACGTGAAAGTTCTCTGCGCCCCTGTATATATATACAGCGCCTACATATGATATTTCCAGAAAATGTATACTATGCCTACATGAAAAATTTTCAAAAACATCATTTGCTGTGGAATGTAATGCTTCCCTAATGCTTTGCTTGGCAATCTGCTTGTAATGGAAGAAAAGGCCCAACACTTTGATGGAAGCATAAGACTATCTAAAGAAGAGGACATATGAGTTGATAACTGAGCCATATCTCAGTTTTCTTTCTGGTAGCTATCGTTGATGAAGCCATCACTGTACAGTAGTTACACAAGTTTAACCTGCAAAAAGAACAATCTTTATATGGTCATATTTTTTGATTAATCTTTATATGGTCATATTTTTTGAACGCTAAAATATTTTACTACGAAATTTAAAAATTTCGTGATGAAGTCTTTATCAACTTATTGCTCTGACGTTTGGGGCAGGGGAAAAACGATTTTAGGGTTTTTTGTTCCCATTCTCCTATAACAGTAATTTTTTTTTGAAGAATCATATCGTCGTACACATGAACGTAAAAATATTTGGAATGTTTTTTTGTTTAAAAGTTGGTTATTTCAAACATTTAAAAACCTTCGTTAAAGACGTCTTTTTTACGTCCGTGCCCACTGGGTATATACATATATACATTTATACATATATTTATACATATATTTACATATACATATATATTAAATATAGATATATATTAAATATATAAAACATAAGAAGTGGGCCGCCATGACCAAATTTCTCTAGCCGTTTTTTCAAGCCAGTCCAGTTTCAAGCAGTTATATGCAATTTTTGTTTGAAAAATTTTTTTATACAACCATGAATTAATTTATGATATTCTGTTATTAGTACAAGTCTTGAGAAGAAAGAAATTTCAATTAAAAGACGATAGCTCCCGTTTAAGCATGATTTTTTCTTGTATTGTAATTATTTTTTATTTTAGTCTTCTTTTGTTCAATTGTAGATCAGAAAAATATTTTTAATTTATACGCTTTAAATTTTCAAGTTAACTTTTATATTTTAGAATTGATATACATACTTCGACATCAACAGTTTTTTAATCTTCAATCAAATGCAAACTTTTATCGTTCTTGAGAGAGTAAAATCACAGGTGTCGAATTTCTCAATTATGAGCCAAGGGGCTGTCATTTTAGAATCAAATCAAAAAATAATAGTTTTAAAAACTTAAAAACCATTAACTTGCTTAAACAACAAATGAAATTGAATCGTCTTAAATTCATTCATACTATAACTAATGTAACTTATAAATATTTATACACTGCTACACTTTATTTCTAATATACATTAACTGTATATTTTAAACACTCTAATTTGTTCATCCTAAAAAATGTTTTTTTTTTGAAAAGATTGTAGCGACTGTAATCATACGTATCTTCTTTGAGTCCATGTGCGCTTTTAAAAATATATTTGAAATATAAACATTTTATTGTAAATTTTTTTATTTAAGTTTAGCAATTGTATTTTTTTAAATTGTTTCTCTTCATTTTTTCAACAGAAATAAATGTCTAAAGTTTCATGTAATATTTCAAAAACTCTCTTAAATAAAAAGTCCACAAATTGTTTATAATTTGATAGGACTCGGAAAAACAGAATATTAATTGGTGCTGAAAAGTGTGTAAACGTAACATTTGCACATATTGCATTGTTATTGAAAATATTTAGACAACAATTTCACTTTTGATATAAAAAAAATGAAAAACACGTTTATTTTTTGCAACTTTTGTTTTATGCTTTGCGCATTCGCCTAACGACTGGCGAGGCTTTGTTTGAACACTGCGTGCAGGTCTCATACAGCAGTGGGTAACAAAAAATCAATCAAGAGAGAAAAATGTTTTAAGTCAATAAATTTTCAGATGACTTATGATTGTTTAACAAAATAATGTCTAATTATTCCACAAGTTAATTTTTTTGAAAACATTTTTTTTACAATATTTTATTGGCGTTATGAAGATTTTTCATAAAATACACTTTGCTTTTTGATGACAAGAACCCAATTATAAAAATATAGTTCATACATTTGGATGATTTTAAAAATAGTGCAAAGGTAAACTTTTTTTATTGTTATAAATAACTTTATAAATAAGTTTAGATTTAATGCAAAACTAAATAGAATGTTAAATCGATAGTTTGACTCGATAATTTATACCTATTAGCATGTGTCTCAGTTATTATTTATGTAGTACACATGCGTATAGAATTAAGAACGGACATCGTGTGATTTTGTTTGACATTATTTGACGTTAAACCGATTAAGTTTATATGCTGTAACTACAACATATATTTGCTATAATTAAAATAGTAATAAACTTATTTCTTGAATTTTTAATTTTTTAAGATTTGAAGTAATGCTTTGGTTATTTGTCTTTGCTAGTAAGTAAAAGTTTTTATTATTTATCTTTTCACTTATATTATATATATATATATATATATATATATATATATATATATATATATATATATATATATATATATATCGTCGCATGAGAATTATAGGGTTCTATCTGCCTTGTTTTATGTTGAAAGAATTTAACAATCAAAGTTTTAATTAATAATTATTAATAAAAACAAACCACTTAAAAAATGATATATTATGTATCATTTTTAAGTGGTTTAATAAAAAATATGTTAAATAATGAAATATAGATAACATAAACAACTTATAATTTATTATTATAATGAATAACAGCTGTAAAACATGTATTATATAAATATTGAAAGTTAAGTTCTCACAACATAAAAAAGGGCAGATAGAACCATATAATTTTAATGTGACGATATATATATCAAAAAAATACTTAAATGTACGATTTGATTACGTCATAGATCTTTTCTTATGTAATGCAAAAAGCAAAAGAAATAACTTTGATTTCCAAAAAGCTAACAAAAGACAATATCTTGTAAAACCAGTTGATATTAACCATTGGAGTGGTCCTTATTTCAACGAACGCCAAACACAAAATGCATTCAAAAATATGATTTATGGTGTCAATAATGGAAGAAAACGCGAAGAACTAGGTTTTGATGCTCGAAAGATTTTAAACCTTGATCCCGAAAACTCACTTAGAAGGTTGAACATAGACGAAAATCCAGTTGCAGAAACTTTTGCAGGGGATAGTTCTGATAGAAATACTGTAGAATCTCCTCAGGAAAGATTAGCAAATATGATATCTAAACCAATAATACATTATGAATACAGTCACGATGATCCAAAATGGCGCGTTAAAGAGAAGTTGAATAAAATAAGAAAAGAATACAGTGATAAACGTCGCTATGAAAACAATATTTATAAAAATTCAATTCAAAGTGAGGATGAAAATGAGTATAAACAAAAAATGTATGAAACTCCTTTTAAAAGAAACAATAAATTGTCTAATGATTTTTACGGAAGAAATCTTGGAGTTACTCTTTACGAAAGTGATAAAATGGGGAACCAAAAAAATAGTTTTAACGATGATGTAAATGGATTTAAAAAATATATACCTCATCACGAATCTTCAAGCAACAATGCTATTGTTAACCTTATTTTGGCAGAAAAAGCTTCAAGAAGAAGATTTCCTGAAAAGGAAGAAACTGAAAACTTTCATTTATTTAAAACTGTTCCCTTTTTTAAACGAAAAACTCATGTTGGCAATGAAATAAATGAAAATTTTAACCAGTTGGGAAAATTTGAAAAATTAAATGACGAACGAAATTATTACTCGAAGGATGAAGACACGAAAACTCATCATAACAGACTTGAAGATGAACACTCCGTTGATCAGTTTTTACAAAGTGATATGGGCTTAAGTAATTATCATCTTATAGAAAAAGAAAATGGAAACGATCGCGACGAACCTGATAATAATCGGGAAGAATTTAATAATAATCGTGAAGTGAATAAATTATTAAAACATGACAGTTTCAGCCGAATTTCAAATCCATATGAAACAGAAAACAGCTTAAACGAATACAAGAGCAACACTGCACATGCGCAAAATTCTCTAAAAAGGTACCACAACTCAAAACGTTCTACACTACTAGCCAATCACGTTGTAACAAAAAAAAATAAAATCAATAAACGAAAACTGAAAAAAAAAACAACGGCTGAACAAAAAGTCTCTAAAAAATTTAATGTTGAAAATTCTAGCAGTAGCAGTAGCAAAAGATGGAGCACGTTTCAACCAAATGAAATGTTTCAAAGACATCCAAGCGATTTTTACGGAGAGCATTCCCAAAACAATATCCAAATGATTGGTGGAAGGTATGAACCCAATAATAATTGGAACAGGTTAAATGAAAATGACTACATTACAAACACAGGATTTGAAAATGCACATTCACCCGTAGAGGCTGGTTATATGGGCAAAAACGATCTTGATGTTGAAATGTCTCTTCAACCAATTATTCAAAATGCTTACCCAGGAGAAATATCAAATCATAAAGAAAAAATGGAGTATGGAGAAAAACTTCAGAGTCTTCAATCTCATGATCACTCTGGCGGTAAACTCACAGATGATATTTGGGCACACGAATTTAACGCAAACGAGGTTGGACGTAACCACCAAAGTAGGCATGGAAAATTAATGGGATTTTTCGGAAACTCAGACCAAGGTGCACTTCTTCCTGCAGAAACATTAGATGGCATTGCTGCTAATTGGGAGCATGCCCATCAAAACGTGCATTACGAAAATTTACCTCATAACAAAGGTGGTAGGTAACTTGTTTTTATTTTTATTTATTTTGGTATCAATAATTTAACACAAACAATATTTAAATATGTTTATTGAGATAATTTTGCATTTGCTTTTTTATTATTTTATTATTATTTTTTATTACTATTTTCGTTTATTAGCAAATTGCAATTTATTGTCTTACTTTTATCTTTACTTTGAATATATTTATGTAGAACAAACTTAAGAATGTTTTCTTAAATAAAATTTGAATATATTTATGTAGAACAAACTTAAGAATGTTTTCTTAAATAAAATTTGAATATATTTATGTAGAACAAACTTAAGAATGTTTTCTTAAATAAAATTTGAATATATTTATGTAGAACAAACTTAAGAATGTTTTCTTAAATAAAATTTGAATATATTTATGTAGAACAAACTTAAGAATGTTTTCTTAAATAAAATTTGGAAATAAATAATGCCCCGTTAACAAAATTTGTTCTGTTTAACAAAATAATATTAAAATAAAGTTTTTAAATGTTAAAATAAAGTTTTTAAAAAGTTTCTGAAAATCATTTTTTATAAGCATTTTAATTTCTTCGATCAAGAAATATTTTTACTATTGAATAATATGGGGTCCTTGTATTTTTGAATTATTGAATAATTTGGGGTCCTTGTATTATCAAAACAAAATTCTTTAAAACTATTATTTTACTTAACTAAATAAATATTTTATTGTTTTTCATTATTTATTATTATTTAGCATCTTTTATTATTTATTTAATCCTATTTAGCTAGTCATAAAATTTATTGGAAAGTTAGTTATAGTCATTTTACAGCCTCTTTTTTTTTTTGTGTGGCTTAACTCGTATTCTTTGTTGCTGTGTTTCATAAGACAGAAAATATTTCTTTGTTGCTGTGTTTCATATGACAGAAAATATTTCTTTGTTGCTGTGTTTCATATGACAGAAAATATTTCTTTGTTGCTGTGTTTCATATGACAGAAAATATTTCTTTGTTGCTGTGTTTCATATGACAGAAAATATTTCTGTGTTGCTGTGTTTCATAAGACAGAAAATATTCTTAATACGAAAGCAAAATATGATTTTGTAAATACTACTTTTTTTATAAAAATTTTTTTTTAAATTGATCACATCCCAGCAAACATGCTATAGTGGAACTTCAGTGGCAATTTCACTGTACAGACATTTATAGCAGTCCACTGTAGTTTTGCTCATTGGTTACTTAGCGTACATTAGTGGCAGCTTCCAAAAATGGCTAGCTAATGACTAGCTACTATATTGCATGTTGAAAAGTTCATCAAAAGAGTTTTGTGGGCAATTATTTTTGTGTTTCACCATGGATACATTTATTTAGGAAAAGATCAACAAAAGTTATCAAAGTCTTCTTTTAACAATATCATTTATGCTTTATTCTTTACATAATTAACCTTGCAGCTTATAACTATGTTTTTCATATAACCATAAAGGGAGATTTTATTTAAGCTTATATTTGCACCATCTTTTTTATATCTTATATTTGCACCATCTTTTTTAAGCTTTTAAGATATGGTCACACATCAATTTGAAAATTTAGTGCAATGGTTTAAAATGTTTTTTAAAACATTTTTCATTTTATGTTCATTATCAATTTAATTGTGATTATTTATTCACCTCCATAGTAACCTCATACTAAAGTAATTGTTATTACTTTGGTATGAGGTTTTTATTTATATGTGAGGTTTTAAACCTTGCAGGTTAGTTTTCACAATTTTTTTGTTCATTTTAGCAGTTTTTAACATGCCTCTGTATATAAATGTTCAACAAACTTAATTTTTGTGTGTTCAAGACAAATTTTTAGTATGGAGTAAATCACCTCCGTGCGGTCATCGCACACCTCATATACGCTTAAGATATGTAAAAAGTTGGCAAACGTATAAATGACAAGTTATTCTATTCCAGCCGTGCTGCGCAATTTATTTTAAAAATTTAAACTAACTTTTTCACCTTTTTCTAAAACGTACATAAATTATCCAAAATAAATTTGCCAATATTCATCTTCCAACATTTCTTTCCCTTTTTTGACATTGATTGCCAAACTTTTTTTTATCGTTAAAAACTGGTCGTTACAACTACCCATTGGGCACAGACGTAAAAAAGACATTTTTAAAACGTATTTTGTTTTGAAAGTCTTTTGAACGTTTAAAAGACATCCAACATAACTTACTGGCGTAAGTTGTTTTGGACGTAAATTAATTATAGATTAAAAAATTTAATAAAAAATGATTAAAAGTCATATTGTTTAATCTCCAAGTTAATAAGATAAATTCCATCTCTTTACATAGAGATGACAAAGTTTGACCTATTAAACATCATCTTTACATAATTAATGGACGTCTCCAAACATCAAATTATAAATTATGTATTAATTTGTATATATGGTTTTATACGTCAATGCTGTTAATATACTGACATCAATATATCAACAGCACTAATATTGGTGTTGTTGGTATACTGCTGGTATATCGATAGCAAAGCACAGATAAAGATTGTATGTCTTTTGATCAGGAGGGCACATTATTCAAGCTATTCAGGATGATCCGATGATTGACTCGCAATTTTCAACATTTGGAATTGGATTGGTAATGGATAAACATCGTCATGATTCTAAGCATCAAAACAATGCTGCCAATACGCATTTACTTCCAGGTTTTTGTTTCTTCCCTTGTTTTTTCCCTTGTTCATAAATACTTTGTGATAAACTATTAGGTATGGGGGTGGCTATTTAAGCATAAGGGCATAACAATTATTTCAAAAACTACACACTGCATGAAAAAACATCAAATGGATAAATTTTTGGTGATTAGTATAACAACGTAATGCGCAACAAAAGGCCGTAAGAAGCCAGTTGAGTGATGCTTACAGTTTGTTGTTTCAGCCAGTTGTTTCTTTTCGTTCTTTAGTGTTCTAGAAACACAAAGTTTATATTTTACAGAAATACAAAAACAATTTAACACTAACTATATATATATATATATATATAAATATATATATATATATATATATATATATATATATATATATATGCATAAGTTTATAGATTTAGATTTATAGATTTATCCAAATTCTAGATAACGTCCTCTCGACAGCTTTTTTATTGCTCAACTTACTTTGAAAAGCTGCTTAACTTGAGCAAGTTGATAAACTTTAGGCAACATTTTCTTAAACAATTCCAGAAAAATGTTTTTATAGCAAGTTGAATTATTCTTCTAACAATAAAAAAGCTATTTAAATGTGATGAACCGTTCAAGAGATAATAATTGCTTAACTAGCTCCGCCCTACCTCAACACCTAAACCGCCCTACCTTAACACCCGACCAAAAAACTTTACATTCTATTCACTTTTTTTTGAAATATTTGGATTATGCTTTGATATTTTTAAGTTTAATTAAATATAACATATATTTTTAGATAGCATGCAAGGGTCGCACTTAATGCACGACGCAGATTACGAGCAACAACTACATAACTACATGCTGTTAAACAACGAAAACATTCCTGATGTTAGTTTGCCTAATAATTAACAAAAGTTTTTATTTGCAAAGTTAATCTTGTTATTAATTAATTTGTTTATTGATTAAAATAAAGTGTCTACAGTTTATAAAACTTCTAGTTTATAAACTGTAAACGAGTGTAAACACTCCAGGTTGGTTTTTAGAAAATGTGGTTTATATTTGTATATAATTTTTTCCCGCCAATTTATTTTATAATAACTAAATATTGGTTTAACTACTTTCTATTTTTAACATTAGTTTGTATTACTTTAAATCTATTCTGTTTAACTTGTACAATTAAAATAACTAATATACATTTTATACAGTTTAAACAATTAATATTTATATAATTAAATAATTTATACAATTTGTACAATTAAAATATTTTAACACATATTAAATTGATATATTTAAAATTTAATTTAAAGGACTCTCACCATCAAGAAATGTCAACTGATGAGTACCAGAATCACATCAATGATCTTATGATGAAATACAAGCCTTTGATGGAAAAAGCTCACGACGGCTCGGATGTTTCCAGCTACTTGTATCAAAGTTTAATTCCACATCACAAACCAAAACATCCTCACCCAGGATACGACTGCAAGTTTTTTTATTTTAAAACGTTTATCATTTTGAGGATCACTGATTTTATGAAATAGGCCAAAATATCTTTATATTTAACTATAAAGTTTTCAAAAATGCGACCATATTTATTGCAAAGCGACTATAGGACAATATAAATATATAGCAGTTATACGGCACTGGTGGCCAAAGAAACCGTCAGATTTTATGTCGTGTCACTTAAATCAAACTTTTTTTATTGAAAATTATTTGTCTTATAACAGAAGAAAAGAGTTTTTTAAGAATCCGAACAAGTCAAAATAAGGTAAAAGGGTAAGCCTGAGAGGGTCTAAGCTTATTTAAGCATTTTAGATGGACGTTACAATTTTATTTTTCCTGTACCTTGTTCCTCTTTGTTCGGATTTTAAAAAAACTTCTTTTGTTACAAATAATCTTTAATAAAAAAAGTTTTATTTGAGTGACACGACAAGATGTGACAGAGACCTTATGTTAAAACCTTAGGTTAAAATTTGGCAGTCTCTTTGGCCAACGGTGATGGGCGTATATTGCTAGAAAGCGGCTTTATTACCGGCTAGAAGCAAAAATAGTTATAAAATTTTTCAGTAGCTCATTCGTTATTTATTTGACTGTTTTTATTAAAATAAATTAAAACTATTTAAAACTCAAAAGTTTTTAAATTTTTTAGATTATGCGTTTAAAAATCCTTGGTCAAACATGCAAATACCATACCATATACCAGGTGAATAAACTTTTTTTTTTGTTTATATCGTGTTACTGTTTAAAATTATATAAATCGTAATACAATTATATAATAACTTTATAAATAAAAGCTTTACAAAATTTGTAAAGCTTTTGAAATAGTTCTGACGACAAGATCATTGAGATCTTCTATCAGAAACCTTGTTTATATTTAATATAAACAAGGTTTCTGATAGAAGATCTCATTGATCTTGTCGTCAGAATCATTTCAAAAGCGTAAAAGCAACAACAACAGTAAATATAAAGAAGAAATGAAATGTTATACAGTGCGTTATTAGAAGTAAATCATTGTATCGTTTATAAAAAAAAAAAATTTTTTTAAAAAGTTCAAATAAAGTTGATAAATGAAAACTTTTCAAAACAATTTTGTTCATGAGATAAGGTGCACGATATCCAATACAAAATTGATTAAACTTTGTACGACAAAGTTTAATCAATTTTCATCAATTTTCAAAGTTCATTTAAAAAATTATCATTTCGCAAAAAATATTTGTTTACTTTTTTGATAAAAAAAGCTTTAAAAATAGATAGTGTTGAGTCATCTTTACATCGAAACTTTACATTAAAACAAAAACACAAAATTTTATAAATGTTGAGTTTATATACATTAGCCTAATTTTAAGGTTTAGGGTGAAAAAATTATAAAAATTAATAATTTTATAAGTTGCATCAAGATATAGGGGTGTCCCGGGAAAAAATTTTTTCTTATCCGACCGGATATCGAATACCCGAATGTTAAAAAATTATACAACCGGATATCCTGCCTGATAATGCAATTCAAATCATAAAATATATATTTCATTATGACAAAATATTATTTGATAAACCTTCGTATATAATACGTGATAAAACTTCAAAATGGCGAGTTTTGTTCGGTAGCTTTTCAAAATTAATGGTAGCTGTGATTTCACAGCAATTTGCATGTCATGTAGAAAGCAGATAAGCATTTTGCACAACTCAACCGCATAATCACACAAAAAAGTTCATTGTAAATTGAATAAAGTGAAAAAAAAAAAATGAATCTTCTTCAGCTGCACAAGGAAGTTCAAAATGTCTTGAATTTTGATCAACTTTTTAAAAACTGCTCAAGGAGTTAGTGTTTTCTTTAATCTCTCGATTATTGAAAAAAGTAATGACGTTTTAAATTATTGGAAACATGAAGAAACGTTTCCACTGCTAAAAGAGTTAGCACTTAAGTTACTAGCACCATCTGCATCCTTTGTATTTTTGAAAGATTGTTTTTATTTTTTATGAGAAATGTTAATATCTCCACGTTGCAGTAAAAGAAATATAAATGAGTGATAAACTGATGTATTTATGCGCATGATAATTGCGCATGCGCAACTGATGTATTTATTGCGCATATATAGTAGTACTTTAATAATAATAGTAATAACAATATTGAAAAGAAATCATTAACATATGGTTATTTATTATATATTTAAAAATGTAACATTTCTAGATATCTTTAAATTATCGAATGACATTAACATGAAATATCCGATACATAAAAAACCGGAAAAAATATTATCCGGCCAGATACAAAATATCAAGTAATACTCCTATCCAGACCCGATAACCGGCCGGATAGCTTATCCGGAATTATTGATTTTTTGTTCATTTTAAAATTAAGATATACAGAAACTGAATTTAATCTTGTTCTTTTCTTGTATTCGTTTTTTCTTCTATCAACTTGTGTTTGTAAACTTGTATCAACTAATTTTGTGTTTTTATATTTATGAATTTCGATAATTATTGTTTTTATCAATAACTTTCTCAATGTAATTTTTATTATCATTATCATTAAAATTAAGATTGACAATGTTAGAGGCCAGGGTTCTAGAGGCCTTTTTTTTTCTTTTAAGAAATTTCTTGATACAGAAAACCTTTTTTTTGAAATTAAAACCTATGCCCCCCCCCCCCCACTTCTATATCTTCACTTCTAAAACCGCATTGTCGACTCATACTATTATTGTTATAACTGTTTTTAATTTCATTTATAATAATACTAATATAGCAGAACTATTGAAATTTAAAACCCATTGAAAAATCAGCGTTATGCGCGGTGCTATTGGGCTTGCTAATACCTAGTCAACTTTGATTCAATGTATATGGATCAATGTTGAAACAATGTATACAACCCTACGATATAAATGCAAAACTGTATTAGTAATTTTGTATTTGCAAAGTTGGAAAACCTTAGCAAATAGATTGTTAAGAATTGTTGTGGTTATGAAACAAAAGCTCGTGTTCGTGTCGTGTTTGTGTTGTGTCCGTGATGTTGAAGTGCACATGAGGACATTGACTATGTTTTTAGTGTTCATTTGAGAAAGTTTACTCAGTCTCATAGCAATAGTTTGAGTAAAATATTCTAATTCCTTTTTTAATAATAATAATTTAAATGCTGTTTAGATAGAGCGCCAGGCAATATCTATGACAGCCAACACAATAGTTGTCTAAAAATTTATATGCAACCTTTTTTCTTGTTCAATATTATCTGCAAGTCAATCAGCTTAAGCCTGGATTTAAACTCTTTGACTGATGTAGACTTCACTACCGATTCCGGTTAATTATTCCATCCAAAAACAACCCTGTTTGTAAGGAAGTGTTGTCTACTTAAACAATTTTTAACAAACTCTGATTTAACACGATGTTTATAACTTCTAATATTTTTTATCCTCTAATATTGGATGGTGCATCTGATGTATTGATTGAATGCGTTTGTATCTGGACTTTCTATAAACCAATAGGTTCAAAACAATTGTATAATTTATATAATGGTTTTATATAATTTATATAGCTATATATATATATATATATATATATATATATATATATATATGTATATATATATATATATATATATATATATATATATATATATATATATATATATATATATATATATATATATATATATATATATATATATATATATATGTATATATATATATATATATATATATATATATATATATATATATATATATATATATATATATATATATATATATATATATATATATATATATATATATATATATATATAGTTATATAGTTGTATATATAGTTATATATATATAGTTATATAAATTATATAAAACCATTAAATAAATTTACCGAACACATTTACCGAACTAAAAAGAAAAGTGTTCAAAAGATCATTTTAGAACAGTTCAAAGAAAGAATTACTTAATAAAAAAAGACTTTTAATAAAAAAAGACTTTGATATAAAAAATCTCTTTTAAAATAAATTCATAAATAAAATAAGTTTCTAAAAACTATATATTATTATTAACATTTTTTAAATTTAATTTTATACTTTGTTAAAAAGTTGTTATACTTTTAATTTTGTTGTCAGTCTATAACTTATATTTGAACACGTGTCATTTTATAAATTTGTCAATGTAAATGGGGCTTGGTGATAAGACAACTTATATCTTTTTCTTGCTCCAACTCATATATAGGACATATATTATCATAAATTAACATATATTAAGACATTTATATTATTACAAAACTAATAATTTAATAAACGGCAAAAAATAAAAAACGTCAAATTAATCAAAAACTACCATCTTGAAAGACAGTTTTCAAAAACCATTATGCTGTCGTCTTTTATTGGTATTATCACATTTAGTTGGTGCCATTATATTCAATATAACTATAGTTATAAAAAACCCAAAACCAAATCATACAAAAACCAAATCATACAATATTCTATTATTTATAAATAACAGAATATTGTATGATTTGGTTTTTGTTAAATAGGGATTGTTTATTGACCTAACAGCTGATAGGGGAAAGTCACCTATAATAGCATACTTAACTTTAAAGCTTCATTATTCAGTATTCTGAAGACCAAGAACAAAAGTTTTAATATAGATAAATTCTTTGTTACATGTAGAACAATAATAACCCAAAGAGTTTTCATCAGTTTTATTTTTTTATTAGTTATTTTTATTTAAAAAAAAAAAAAAAGCACAAGCTAGTATGCCAATCATAGGCTACTACTGCTACTATGATGGCATAGGGAAGGATGTGGCTAGTTAGCATCAAGGGTAACTTGACGATTTCATTTGACCATAATCTTCCCTCAGAAATGCCAGATGAAAGGGTTAAATAGGACAATTACGCGTAATCATCCTATTTAACTCTTTCGTTCTACACAGTATAGAATTTCGCGCATGCGCATAAGAGATATCGCGTTTTTGTTTTTTGAATCAAAAAATTTTTAGTGAAGTAAAAATTACTTTTATCTTCACTAACAAATACGTTGTCTTTATGAAAAAAAAGGTTTTCTCAACCAGTCAATATTGCAACACACCTAACTCGTCAGTAAGCCATCATAGGAATGAGCCATCATATTAATTTAAACAAGCTATGTGTGCCTTGTTCAAAAGAAAAAATTAAATATATGAAAATTTCATTTCTGCACAGTTAGCAGTAAAATCACAATCTTAAATATTTAAAGGGATTAAAAATAATCCTAAAATCAATTTTTGTTGATTATAAACGCAATATTTGTGCATAAGGGACGTATTTTTACTAAAAATAATGTAAAGTCAGTATAGACATTTTTATCTAATCACTTTTTTGTCATATCCAATATTTATGAAAAAATGACCGGTAATGCCATGCCATCATAAGCGCTTTTTCCCTATCAAGGTTTGTATTTACAACTATTTTTAGCGTTTAGCTGTCTTTTAAATTGTCATAAAACAGTTAAGAAGCAAGTAAGGTATGAGGTTGGAAGGATAAAAAAAAGGTTCAAATGAAATATTAAGGAACTTTAATTTTATTTTTTATTTAGAGGAAAAAAAATTTTTCTTTATAGTTGTACAGATTCTTGAGGTTTAAGTACAAATCGAAATTTTTTTTTTTTTTGGAACTATATTTGAAAATAAAAATCATTTTATTCTTTACTAACATTTGGAGATAATATTATAATATGAAAACTGATAGATAGTTAAAAGAACACTTAATAACCAATAAAAATATAAGAATAAAAATTATGATAAAAATTAAAAAACGATCAATTGATTGAGAAAAGTTTTTTATTCTTGAGTTGTGTTTTGCGTGGCACATTTTGGTAAAATAAAACTCGGGGTATTTTACATATCGCTTTGGTATGTAAGTTTGACATGACTAAACTATATATTTTGAATTTTTACATTGATACCATTAACTATTTGATTTATTAAAGCTTCACTCATTACGGGACTTTTTACAATTCAGTTGGTGGTGCTAGTAGTTATGGTGGTAATGGTTATGGTGGTTATGGCGGTGTTGTGGTGGTAGTGCAATAATTTTTGATCTGTTAAGCAAGTTGACAAGATAGTGTTTTCAATGCAAATAAATGCGCATTTATTATATTTATGCATCAGTTTGGGCAATTACTAACTTAATCATTAGCGCATATCATTTAACTTAATTGGTTAGGCTATACATTGACCATATAAAATAGTTTTTATTTATTATTATTAACCAATGTTTTTTACTGAAATAGCAAATTTAACTTTGAAAAAAGATTTTTACTGGTTATTTTTACCGGAGTTGCACAAGTTTTTCAGTTCATTGATAGCAAGTTTTCACTTTTACTTTCACTTTTCGCTCAATTTTATTCCCATAAAAAATAAACTGTTACGTGGTTGAAACTTTAATAATTTATTAAAAGAAAAATTTTATTAACTTTGTATCATGTTAAAGAAAAAGATTTCCGACTCATCATAAAATATTTGCAAAACGTTTTTTCAATAACCCAGTGAAAAAATTAGGTAAAGAAGCCTATGATGGCATAGCGCCTATGATGGCATACTGGTCATATTTTCATAAATATTGGATATGGCAAAAAAGTGATTAGACCTACATGTTTATACTGGCTTTAAAATAGTTTTAGTAAAAACACGTCCCTTATGCACAAATATTGCTTTTATAATCTACAAAAATGGATTTTAGGACGCGCTGTTGTATTTTGAATCCCTTTATATATTTAAGATTATTATTAAATGTAAAAAAATGAAATATTTTTGGGTTTTGTGCATTTAGTGGATTACTCATTTTAACTTTATCTTTTAGACAAGGCAGACATAGCTTGTTTAAATAAAAATGACGACTTCTTCATATGATGGCATACAGACGAGTTAGGTGTGATGCAATATTGACGAGTTAGGAAAATCTTTTTTTTTTAGTGAAGTAAAGAGGAATTTTTTCTTCACTAAAAATTTTTGGGTTTAAAAAACAGATAAAACGCAATATCTCTTATACGCATGCGCGAAATTTAACACTGCTATTTAGCATGTAAAGTTAAATTAGGATGATTACACGTAATTTCTGGCATTTATGTGGGAAGACTCTAAGGTTAAATGAAATCCTCAAGTTACCCTTGATGCTAACCAACCTCATCCTCCTCTATGCCAATGTAGTAACAGTAGTTGCCTATGATGACATACTTGTGCTTTTTTTTAAAAAAAAAGAACATTTTAAATAAAAATAACTAATAAAAAAATAAAATTGATGAAAACTCCTAGGGTTATTATTGTTCTACATGTAACAAGGAATGTATATCAAAACATGTAACAAGGAATGTATATCAAAACTTTAGTTTTTCATGATGTTGAATAATGAAGCTTCAAAGTTAAGTATGCTATCATAGGCCTTTCCCCTAATATCATTTTCAATTTTTCCTGTTTCCTTGTTCCATTTTACATTAATTTATATTATTTAAGTAATTTTTTGACAACATTTATAACTATATACAATTAATCAAAATAATTTAAATGGTATAATAGAATAAAGACTGAATAGTTTTTTAATATTTTTGATTAGTTGTTATTTTCAACTGGTGTACATTTTTTTAAAAATAATTGACAGAAAAAAAATAAGGTACAAAAAGCTTGTATTGCACTAATATTTGTTCGTGTTGCATAAAGTTTTTATTTATAATACAAAAAGTTTTATTGTGAAAAATAACAAAATAGTTTTGCATACAAAACAAAATGATTTAATAACGTAAAAAAATGTTTATTTAATAAAAAATGGTGTTTTTGTAGTTTATAAAAAAATATTTAAAGAGAAAAAGTTTTGCTTTTTTATTTAGTTGAGAATCACCCATTAGAAGATGAACTTAAAGAAACGACAACAGAAATAACGACCGAAGCAAAGCCTGATTTTATTGAAGGAAAACCTGAGTTGGTTTTTCCAAAACTAGTTGAAGCGAAAACTGATTTTGTGGAAGCTAAAACGGAGTCTATTGAAGCAAAACCAGAACTAATGTTGGCAAAACCTGAATTTTTGGAGGCAAAACCTGAACTCATTGAAGCGAAACCTGAACTCGTAGAGGCAAAACCAGAGCTCATCGAGGCAAAACCTGAGCATATTTTGGAAAAACCTAAAATTAAGGAAGCAAAAGCTGAACTCATAGAAGCAAAACCTGAGCTTCTTAAAGCCCAACCAGAACATTTTAAAGAGAATTCCGAAGCAATTACAAGTTCTAATCTTTTAAAGGAAAACCTCCAAACAGCTGGAGTAGGAGATGAAAACAGTTCTGAACCAAAAACCGAAAAACTAAATAATAAAGAAGCAGGCAACGTTAACAAATCAAACGAAATTCAAAAAAGTGAAAATAAGCCAACTGAAAAAGAACCTTTGAAACCAAATTTGGGTGTTAAATCACCATGGGGAGAAGCGCCTTCAAAAATTCCTTTGCAACACCATCGCTCAAATACAGATATATTGTTTAGTGGTATGTTTGCAATATATTTTAAAGTATTATTTTATAAAAATATAATTAAAATCAAATATAAAATAATCTGCAATATAAACTAAAATAATAAAACTTTTTACTTCATGATATTACACATATCATATTTTTTTTAAATACCATTAATTTTTACAATATTCATTTATTTACCACTAAACATGTTTCCTTATTTAGATCCTAGTCCTATAATCCAAGCTTACAACCAATTAAATTTGCTAGTTCCGGCTGCACTGCAAATCAAGGCTTTACAAGAACAACTCAAAGAAGTTAAACAAAAGTCCGCTTTGCAAATTGCTTTATTGGAAAGTAAAAATAAAAACGCTTCAAAATCTGAGAAAGATGCTTCTTTACAAATAACTCCTAACAAAGCAATGTTTAATGTTAACCCAGCTGAGAGGCTTACTTCTGAAGCAGGATTGTTATCACCTTCAATAATACAGGAACTTGTAGCTCAGGCAAAGAATATTAGGCCCACCGGTGATATAAAGTCAGGATTGGAAACTTCAAGTAGCTCTGAAAATAAAGAAAAAACTTTGTCACAAGCAAACTTAATTCAACCTTCAGTTGCTCAAAAAGCATTGTTAAAGCTAATAAATGCTGCAGTAGATTCTTCTTCTAAACAACAATATAAAGACCAAAAAGATGAAGCTTTAAAGCAATTAAATTTACAGACTGATCAGTTGAAGTTGCTTGCATTAATCAAAAATCTTCAACCTAGTAGTGCTACTGCAATAGAAAAAGAACATTTAAATAGTATGTTAAATCAGATAGCATTAAATAAACATTTAGACTTGGCAACTAGTGCTGCTGTATCACCACCTGCTGACATTAACTCCATGTTGTTAAAAATTGTTTTAAAGCAGCAAAATCCAAATTTAAATGTTATTAAGTCAAAAGGGGTTTCATTACTTCAAAATGGTAATGAAGTTTTAAACGTTTTTGATAAAGAAAAAAATAAAGGCTTTGCAAAACAAAACAGTTCAGAAGTAATTCGTTTGCTGATTGAAAAATTACAACACAAAAAACATAAAAAATCAAAAGATTTTGAAAATCCATATGCAAAGATTGGATATGTTGGAAAACGAGGACCACAATCATCACAGCAAGAATCAAGCAATGACGAAATAACTAACATTGGCACGAGTAATGAAGCCAGTATTATTAATGGTACTTCTTTTAACAAGATTTTACAATCGGTTAATCTTCACTATAACGAAGATGATGAAAACGAGGCAAAGTCAAAAATAAGTGTTAAAAAAAGCAAAACGGCGGAGAAAAATAAAAATAAACCAAAAGAAAAAATGACTCATTTAGAAAATTATAAAAAATAAAACTTCTTTTATAAAGAACATTTAGGATGTAAAATACGCGTTTGTAGAATTAATACTTTCAAATTAATGTAAAGAAATCTGAAAAATTAGAAAGATGCACAATAAAGAAACACAAAATAATCATATCCATAAATCTACAGGAATGTTGATCCGAAGCATGATCCGAAATTAAGCATGAGTTTAAAAAGAACACTAGAAAAAAGTTAATGTATTAAATGTTATGTACTAAAATTATTATATACTTTTTTTGTTATTTATTAAATTTTATATATACATTTGCATTCCATTAACAAAATAAGTTAAAATTAAAAATTTTTCATCCACAAATTAAATGTACAATTTGTATTTTAATTGATTTTAATTAAATAATTAATAAACTATATGTATACTATAAAAAAACGAAGATAAAATTTTGTGTCTTAAACAGCAATCTTCTAAAATCCCCAGATAGTTACTTACAACAAGGAGGTATAATAGAATGGAGGAAGAACAAAGCTGAAAATTGTTTAAAATTGTTGTACAGTCTTTGTTGTATAACTATTCCAGCGGCAAGTCAAAATGAATATACATATATGGCGTCTTTTGAAAAAAAAATGAATATACATATATGGCGTATGGTCATATATACATATATGGCGTATGGTCATATATACATATATGGCGTATGGTTATATCAATATACATATATGGCGTATGAATATACATATAAGGGGTTGGCATATAATGAAAAAAAATGAATATACATATATGGCGTCCTTTGAAAAAAAGAAAATTTTGAAATTTAGTTTGTAAGCTGTAGCCATAATTTTCATTATGGCTACAGCTTACTCTCTTGGATAAGTTTTTAACATTTTTTTGTTCCAATTATCAAGTAGTAATCACAACAAAAATCATGATCTACGTAAAGTTTATTGAATATCTCGATACTAGATATAAATATCAAAGTTTTAGACAATCTCTAGTTCTTGGTTGAACCTTATCTTATGCTTCCCCATTTAGCTATATAGTAACGTTCATAAAAAATTTTTTGGCAAGGAACTTATTAAATCTCTCCAAGATTTTATTTTGTGTTGTGTTTTCTCCAAGATTTTATTTTGTTTTGTGTTTTATTTTTGCTGAATTTAAAAAAAAAATTGCTATATTCTAAATATAGAGATATAAAATACCTTTTTGTAAATCCGACAAAAATACTACCAATTCTTATTATAAATTCAATTCTAAAAATTTTTTATTTATTAATTCTAATTCTAATCTAGAAGTTTATTAGTCATTCAAAAAGCACAACTTAAAAAAATAGCAATAAACTCTAAATATTGTTTACGAACTTTTTAAACTTCCATTTTTGTTTTTTTTAAACTTCCATTTTTTAATTTTTTAAACTTCCATCTTTTGTTTGCAATGCTTCAATTGCTTATGACGCACAGTGATCAGGAATAACTTAAAATGCCAAATTTTTGTCAAAATTTTGTTAAAAATATTATTCAAAATGGCTGAAAATTTACTCGACGGTGTAAAAAAAAGGAGCTGGAAAGAAAGTTTTCTTTATCTTCGTCTTCATTTTCATACTCATTATACTCATTATCAGTTTCATTTTCACTTTGGATTTTATCAAAAGTATTTTTGTTTGATTTTTTAACAAGTTCTAGAGCGCTCTTTGATAATTGAATTTTTTTAACTTTATTTTTATCTTGAGAAATTATTATAGTTGATATTATTGGATCACTTGTAATGAGAAGATAGTGAAGTTGGTCCTCAATTGTATGGAGTCTTGAATGTTGAAATCTGAATTGTTTATTTTATTGTTTTAATTATATTTTTAAATATAAAGCTTTGCTGTTTTAGTGCAATATTCATTAAATTTTATTGTACCTATCTCATAACTTGAATTTATTATTTTAAAAATATTTGCTGAACGTTCTATTAATTCTTATCTATGCCTTATAATATAAGAAAATACATCAAAATGTTTAAATGATTGTCTGGCAGTATTACCAACATTTGAAATTCCAGAACCACTTCATAATTTTTCAATGAAGTTATTTTGTTTGGTCCATTTTTTTTTCACAAACTTCTTTGTCGACATTACCACGAACTTTTTAATTTCAAGTCTGTAAGAAATGCGTAACAAACATTCAAAACACCTTATCCGAGCATGTAATGGAGAAAGACCTAATTTAATGTTATTTATATTAGAAGTTGGAGTTGGTATTGAGTCACATACAATAGAACTCATTTGTTTCGGAGAAGCTGAACATATATTGCAAGTTTGTTGCGAAGAAATTAAGCATATTGCATTAGCAGCCTTACCGTCAATCATTGTTAATTTTAAATTAAATTTAAATTTAGTTACAATTACAACTTAACCATTTCTCAACTCAAACCCTGAATCCTCTAGTAAATTTATTTGATTTTGAATATATTCTTTTTCAAATTTCAAAATAGCTTCCGATTCCTTTAGATATCAATCTCGTATTTGTTGACAAAATCAAATTGACGATGGTTTAGAATTTGTCCAAACAGAAATGTTTCTAAATGAAAGATCCAAAGGAAAAAAAGTGGTACTAAATAAATTAGAGTCTTTTGAACTTCATTGTCAAATTACAACTTAATATTCCTTTTATTTTATCGCCATTCTTTAGTTGCATATTTGAGTTATGATTGAATTCATTTAAAAAAAAAGAATTATTGTGCGATCAAGAAAGCTTTGAAGTTTAATTTCAGCATTTTGCTCACTAAATATAATGTTGTCAGGATAGCATTCTTTCCTTGCTAATAAAATATCACTATACAAAAGACATTATCTAACATCTGTAACACGAAATATATTGTTATTGCTATTTGTTATTTGATATATATATATATATATATATATATATATATATATATATATATATATATATATTTTTTTTTTTTTTTTTTTTTTTTTTATTTACATATAGAAAAAACAACTTTTCATGGGACTAATAGTTTCATGCCTAAACGGCAATCATCAGCCATGTATTATATCAAAAACAAACAAACCGTTAACCCTTAAACCACTGAAATAGAAATAACTTGAATCTTGTCATGATAATTTTGGTTTTAGCATAATTTTATCCTGACAAACATGAATACGAAGTCCATTTTTTATATAATCTTCATCTGAGAGTGCCAGGAGAAAAAAATGGAAGACCGTCTATAGACGGTCTTAGTGGGTTAGGCTGAAAAAAAAAAAAAAACTAAATACATGCATAATTTATGTAAAACAAATGTTTTTTTTCAATTTTCATACTCAAAGCATAAAAAAAGAGTATTATTCATTTTGATGATAGTCTTTAAAACAATTCTTTGCTTTGGAAAAGCACAAGTGGATATTACATTTAGTGCAAAATGTGTGTGTGTCAGATTTTTTGCAAAATTTGCACGATTTTTTTGATCCCCATTCAGGAAAATGATTCATTTCATCGAATCTTACACTTGCTACTGGATGAGCTGCTTTTCTACCGACATAATTTCTGTTAGTTGGTTGTGTAGCAGATGGACGGCCAACTGAACGTTTACAAATACAATACGTTTACGAATACAATATATGATTAACAAAATTTGGTATTGTTTGCGACAACCTAATAACAACATTCCCTGTTGCTCCAATGTTTGGAGTAAAAGGCAGAACTATGTCATCATTTTTGGCTGCGGTATATATTTCAAAACGGTATGAGTATCCATTGCTGTCACACAAAACAAAGAGCTTTACACCCCACTTATGAGGTTTGTCAGGTAAATACTGCCGTAAATGGTGAACCATTTTTGTGGAACACATTTGTTCGTCAATTGATAATCGAGCATTTTTTGGAATTGAATCAAAGCGCTCAAGCAAATGTGTTGCAACTTTTCTGATCCGAAAAATTGGGTCATATCCTATATCACCTTTTTTGACTCGTTTTGATTCATCGTTGAACGATAAATATTTTTTTATCTGCTCAAATCTGTTTTTTGGCATACTCTCTGGTATGTGTCCAAATCCGAATTCACTCCAATAATCTTCAATGTTTGGGTAACGGTAAACTGACATAAAAATCAAAACTCCAATGTATCGACGAATCCCATATTTGTCAATTTTGAACTTTGTGTTCAAGTTTTTTGTAATTGCAGCTCGATGCGTTTCCAAACTAATCAATTCTACCAGATCGTCTGTAAAAAAATAGTTAAAAAAATCCAATGGTGATTGCAGTTTTTTTACTACAGGTGGTAGGTCTGTACTTCCTCTAAATGCTACTTCATTGACGTGTAATTGCATACACTTTTTACGCCAAACGATTTGTTTGAACTCATCTGAGTTTTTGTGAATATCTACCAAGCTAGCTCCTGTGAACCCACCAGCTGATGGTGTTACAGGTGGTCCTGAAACCTCTACACATGGTAATGGTGATCGAGCTCTTTTCTTTGGTTTGAATGACGTTTTTATCGCAACTTCACTCTGTGGTGTTGACATAGTAGCTTTTGTTTGTAGTTCGTGAAGTGCTGGATTAGCATCTTCATTTTGCAGTGTTATACTTATATCTTTGTTTAAAGTTACAGTTTGTTTTGGTTCATCAATTTCACTCAAATTAAAATTGCTAACATTCATTGAAAAATGAAGTGCCTTTGTAAGCGATGAGGAATCCATTAGTTGCAAACAGCTATTTATAATGGTACTATGTTCAGGTTGAAGCTCATCACACTGATAATCTGGATCTTTGAATCTGTTGTCAAAATCCAGTAGTTGGAAATTACTGTTTATTGTTGTATTAGGTTCAGGTTGAAGCTCATCGCAATGATAATCTGGATCTTCAAAACTGAGGTCAAAATCTTCACATTCATCATCAGTTTCAGCTGAGTTCATAAAATTTACAATTTCTTCATCACTCATTGCAGAGAGATTAAACTTTTTCTTTCCATTATTTTGTTGTGGCATTTTCTAAAATCAAAAATATGGAAAAAAAGTACAAAAAAAATTAAAATAAAATATAAATATATGTAGGTAAAATAAGAGGAAATTTTTATAGTCAAACCACTAACACTGTCTGTAGAAGGTGTTCATAAAGTACTTGTTTTAAATAAAAAAAAACTTTTTATTTATCAAACAAAAAACATATTATTAAAATATAAGGTTGAACAACTTACCACAAAAAATCTCAAGTCAATTGAGCTGTTTGAATATATTATTTTTATAATTTGAATTTGTACTGCAATCACAAATAATTTTGACGGCTGTTTACTAGAAATTCTCAACAAGAATAACCAAAATAATCAAACTACGCGTCAGAACGTGTTCAAACTTGTTGTCATTTGTAGGAAATTTTACAGACTAAAAATGGCCTTAGTGGTTAAAATCGATTTTTTATTTAATTTGAATAGTATTACATTTAGTGATGACCGTCTGTAGACGGTCTTAATGGTTTAAGGGTTAATAAAATTACAAAATACAGTAGAGCGACATCTGACGTTTCTATAGAGACAAAAAAAGAAAACGTCAAAGAAAATTTTATATAAATCAGCTAATCGTCAGTATCATAAAACGAACAAAGGAATTTATTTTTATGCCTATCAATCAATCATATATATTCTGAAAATAAATTTTCAAGGCTATTTACAAATAGTATTGAAATACTAATCTCAAGTAAATACCTAAAAAAAATAATTTATGTATATACAATTAATCTTAATAATAATAATAGCAATAATAATAATAATAATAATAATAATAATAATAATAATAATAATAACAATAACAATAGCAATAAAGTAATTATAATAATTTAAATAATCGGTATTTTCCCTACAGCAATCATTTTTACATGCAGAGTTACAGTTACAAACAGTAATAAACTGACAAAACGTAACAACTAACGATGACATAAAAACGACTACTACTAAAAAAAAATTAAAGATTTAGTAAATATATTAATATAATCATAGTTGTAAAAATATAACAATCAAAATATATTGCAAATATTATGACCAAATAAATAAATATAATATAAACAGAAAAACACTGAGAAAATCAAAACAAAACAAGTTTACAACAATCATTACGAAACAAAACAAAAAAATATGCAAAATAAACAAAACAAACAACAACAACAAAAAAACTTAAAATTAAAATGGGTTTCCTACAATTTGAAACTAACTCGTTCTTTTTGTTCAACAGGTTTCCCCCTGTATACATTAAAATAAAATACTTTTCATTAGACAAAGATTGAAAATTTTGGACGAAGGATTATATGTTTGGCAGCGCTTGATAACTTTCCATTTAGTAACAAACGAAAAGTTTTCTTTAAGTTTCCAAATTTCTTTAGATAACTCCGTATCATTGCTGTACTTAATTAAATTAAAAGATTTTAAATGGTTTGCATACCTTAACTTGAAAGGGGTCTCGCTAATACCAATATAAACTTTATCTGTGTAATCTGGTTTATTGGATGAAATAGTAGCTTGATACACAATGTTCTTACTTAGACACTGGTTGTTCATAACGCAGGTAGATTTATCGATGCAGCTGTAAGTTTTTGTTGTTGTTTTTTCATGATTGTATAAAATATTTTGATTATGCGAATTAATGACTGATTTAACGTTCGGCATACACGAGTAGCTAATTTTAATGGTGTTTCTGTTAAAAATCTTGTGTAATAAATGACCAACAGGAAAGCTTGCATCAATTATTTTCAAAAAAAGATTACCAATTTTTGTTGCAACATTTTTACTATACAGGGGATTATACCAAATAATGTTTCGTTTGTGATTTTTGTTTTTAGTGGGAACTATATCTGACTGATCTTTGAGCTTGGATGAGAAACCCGATTTTATTAATGCATCCTGATAAGAAGAAACAGCTTTTTCAAAAAAATTTTTGTTTGAAGATGCAGTAGACAATCTTAGTTCAATTGTTCGCGGTAGACTTTTTAAAATGCACGGAGGGTGGTTAGAGTCGGCGTGAATATAATTAAGAGTGTTATCGGGCTTTGAATAAGGTTGGAAGGTACTGTTGTTAAGATTTAGTGTTAAGTTGAGGTAATTGACAATTTTAACATTACAGCTGATTGATAAATGGAGACCATTGCTTTTAAAAATTTTAACAAAATGCTTCTTTAATTTTTCCATTTGTTGGAAAACTACGATTTTTAAATATAGCTAGACTGTCATCCCGGAATAAACCTAATTCCTTCCCGTTGTAATATTGAGATAGTTGGTACAAAATAAAAATTCCCACTAATTCGCATACTTCTGCACCATCATAAGCACCCATAGTTACATCAAATAATTCTCCGTTTTTTTTAATCCAAGAATCGCCATTGGTAAAGATTAAAGATTTTCTCGCGTGCATAATAAATTTCCTATCTTCTTGATTTATAACTAGGTGCTGACCAGCAAACTCTATTTCGTCGCTAAGTAGTTTTACATTAATCGATGGGTAAAATTCAGTTATATCGAAAATTAAAAATGTGTAGAGGTGTTTTTCATTAATACCTTGAAACCAATGTAAAACATCTTGCGAGCTTTGCCATTGGTTTAAGCAGAGCTTTTTTCTCAATGTAGCATTGATTTTTGAGATTACAGTTTTGGAAATTCGTCCTACTTCGTTTTATGCTGGGTTTAACAGGCGAACGGTGGGGTTATTTAAAAAGTTTACTTTGTGGTCTTTGAGAGTGATGAAGCAATTAGAAGTACCGTTTAACTCAATTTTGTTAAACACATCGTGGTTGGTTAAAATTTCTTTACTTTCCTTATTTATTTTATGGTTTAGATTATGTTCAGCTTTTTTATACGTAGATGTTATGGCGTTCATTAAAAGGTGGTTGTACTTATCTTTAAATACTCTGTACATATTAGTTGATTTTTCAGCTTGGATTAGTGCCATGGGCGATACGCGAAGAGATTTTATATCCTTTGATATTCTTTCTTGAAATGAGTTGCGGATTTTTCGAAATTTTATATTTTTTACAAGATTTAACATATCTTTTTCAAACAATGACATTTCTTTAATAGTTGGTGGGCATTTTGCAGATTTTATATCATAATTTATAAACTGAGACAATTCTTTGTTATCAGAAAGATTGTTTATAAAAAATAAAGCTTTCCACCTCATTCTTTTTATGAGAACCTCAGTTTTCTGCATTAACTGTATTAAAAACTCTTTTTCCGATGGAATTGGAATATTTTTGATAGAGTAGTTGAAGTTAATTTTCTCCATCTTGTGTACGAATTCGAGAAGAGTGCTCAACTAACAGGAGCGTATATATCGATTGATGTTAAATTTGCATCACAATAGTAATACAAAACTCTATTTCGGTTAAGAGTGCTCAATAATAAAGAAAGTAAACAACTTTCTAACTAGACTTTCTAATCCTTATTTTCTAATAAGATCTTTGAGACAAACCAGCTGAGACCATCAAGGCAAAACCTTCTTTTAGAGATAATTTTATATAGGCTTTTTATTTTTAATCATATTAGCTACTTTATTGGGTTGACTGGGAGAAAATACTAATTGCTTTAAAGTAAAATATATACTATAGCATTGACTTCTCCTCGACCTACCTAGCAGATAAGATCAACTCATCATAAGTATGGTTTGTTCCCACTTTTTTTCACTCTTTCTTCTTTTTATTCTGCTGCTTGATTGTTCCCATTCAAGGGACTTTTTTCCAGGTGTTTTCTTTTCGTTTTGATATATATATATATATATATATATATATATATATATATATATATATATATATATATATATATATATATATATATATATATATATACATACATATATATATATATATATCCCAGACAGCAAGCTTACATTGGCCCAATGTAAGCTTGGCCCAATGTTGTATATAACGTTAGGCCAACGTTGTATACAACATTGGCCCAACGTTGTATACAACATTGACCCAACGTTGTATACAAAATTGGCCTAACGTTGTATACAACATTGGCCCAATATCGTATGTTATATATCGGCCTAACGTTTTATGCAACATTAGATCGTTGTTACAAATAAGATGATTTGCATCGCTACATTGAAAATTTATAGAGAAAAAAAAGAATGTATGATACAAGTATAAAAATTTATTTAACATAATTTATCGGTTAAATATACATATTGCAAACACCAAACTTAAACCAAAAACTGACACATTGAGTTTTAAATAAAAAAATTCACTATAAAATTTAAGAGTAGTTTCGTTATTGGCTGAGCTACTTGTTATTGAATAGTGTTTAGCTTATGATATTTGGTGCCCATGATTACTATTTTTTCTTCCTCTATCTCTATCACATGTCTGCATAAGCCATGCTTATTTGACTTCACAGTTTCTGCAAAAAAAAATAGTTGTTTGTTTAATAATGCACCAAAGAAACATAATAAATTGAAAGTAATTCTGTAATGCAAAATTGAAACTGAAAAAATAAACTTTTCTAAACCACTTACCAATAGCAGCATATGCAATCAACATTTTTTCTATTTCAATTTTTTGTCCTCTCCCTGCATAGTTTAATTTTACAACTAGGCCATTTTTAAAAACTATTCTTATTAAATAATATATACAATCTCCTTCGTCTTTAACTCCGATTTGTGCCAAATAATTGATCTGCAAAAATACACAACCTGACAATAATTAAAGTAACTTTTGTTTAGACTTAAATTAATATAAAATGTAATTTACAAAAAATCTTCATAGAGTATTTTATTTAAAGTATATAAATTGTACTAAGATATCACACAAAATGCATAAAAAAATTATAAAAAAATATTTACCATTTACTTACATATTTTCTTTTCTTCCAGAGTCATAGATTATCCTAGTCATATTTTAAAAATCCGGAAAATGGTTTAGAAAAAATATCCGGAAAAAATCCGGAAATTGTTTTCCTTTATTTTCTTTTTAATTTCGCTTTTAGTTAAGTTGTTTTTAATTTTTTTTTGTTACTTTTCATAATTTTTTTTAAGTGATGAGTGAAAAAGCTTAAAAAATAAATATATTACAAAAATTTATACCTCATCTTGCATGTATGAAAATATTTTGGATATCCGGAAAAACCAAAAGTTGAAAAAAATATCAGGAATTCCGGAAATATCCGGAAAAAGATAATTCCTGCAGAGTACTTGAATTCTTCACTGCAATGACACTCTTTCAGGCAATACAATAATTAGCATACCTTTGTTACTCAAATTTTTATAACTGAATTTGATGTGTTTTGTAGTTTACCAAGTTGTACTTCAATGACGACTAAGAATGAACACTAAGAAAAGCATAAGTTTCAGAAAAAATAAATGGGTAGCACCAAAAAAGCATAATAGCTTAATTGAGCGTTGTATTTTGAAAATGTGACAAGTCACAAAATTAAAATTTTACAAGGGAGTGAAAAATATTTCTCCTGTAAAAAATTTTA